AGATGTTAAGAAGCTCTGCCTTCCTTTCTAGCATTATTTAAAGGGGAGTCCTACTCCCCTTCCCCAGACATTTTGGACCACAGGGGCCAGCTGTGCTCGCAGGGGCTGATGGGAACTGGAGTTCAAAACATCTGGAAGGCACTAGGATCAAGCCCTGACCTGCATTTCTGCCTTTGCCCCTTCCCTCAACCAATTCCCCCTCTCGCCTAGACAGGCGCCAGTTAACCCCTCCACCACCACCACCATGTGAAGTGATATGGCTGAAGGAAGGAGGGGTTGCATTTGCTTTTATGGGAAGGCGAGGGGCTGATCTGCCTGCCGGTCCCCTCTGTGACCACAGTCTGTGGTTCCCTTGCCCTCTGTGCAGGATGCCAGCCTTCATCGCACCCCCCCCCCCAAGACAGAGGGACCACCTTCATGCTTCTCTCCAGCATGATCTTCCTGTACCCAAAGAAGCCCTTGTTGTGCCAAGGGAGCCATTCTGAAGGAAGGGGCTCCTTCTTCCAGTTTGCAGGTGGGGAAGAGGCAGCAGCTCCAGCAGACATTACCCCAGCCCCTCCTGCCCTGGAAGGGCAACCCACACAGCGACCCCCTCCTACAGCCAAGGACAGGGTGGGGGGCAGGGGGCTGCTGCCCTGCGTGAGATGCCAACTTGCTGGGGGGCTGGAGCAGCCCTGATCAGCAGAAGAAGGGGCTCCCTTTGCCTGCCCCCATGCTGCCCCTCTCCCCCACCCATGCCCAGGAGGACCAGAGTGTCTCCTGTGCCAACCAGTGGGCAAAGGGCAGGTCCGGTGCCATCTGCTGTGCCCCCAAGGAAAGAGGCCCAGAGGACGGGCAGGTTTGCTTTGGCCAACGTGGATTTTAACGCCTGCATTCCTGCTGCTGTGGAGACATTTTATCCCAACAGACCATGTTTTTGCATTTCATTGGCTGTTTTGTTCTAGTGGTTTATTTGGGGATTGGGTGGGATACAAATCTAGCTCTAAAATAAAAATAAACACCCCTCCGTGCTTGGGAAGTGGTGTGGGCTCTGCGCTGAGCTCTGACATGAGCCCCCCTCCCTCAGTGGGGCTGGCAGGGGAAGAGGTGAGGGGGTGGCAGCCTCCCACAGCCACCTTTTTGGCCTGCCCAGTCCACCATCCTGACCAGGAGAACAGCTGCCTGCTTCACTGCCTCTCTGGGAGGTCAGAGCGCGGCCTTTACCCAGGGAAGGGGCAGCCTGGTTGGGGCAACCTTGGCTGGGTATTTGAATCAGCTGGGTGGGTGTCTGTGAGTGGGGAGCCCCCTTGAACTCCCAGTGGAGGCTAAAAGGGGTTCCTGGCAGAAAAGCTCCTGGTGGTTGTCCTCTCCTTCCACCCCCATCGCCCCCAGTGGGCTCCTGCCTGGGCACATGCCCTTCTGGTGGGCTCCAGCAAGCAGCCCTGAGATGCCACAACAGCAGCTGGTCCCCCTCCCCCCATTCTTCCAACAGGCAACCCCTCCCTGCCCCCTCAGCCTTTCGGGTGGGATGTTGTGGTCCCACGGAGGACGGGGGGGGCACTTTACAGACACTGCCCCTGCTTCTGCTCCCTGTTTCCTCTGCCCTGTGACTGGCAGCTGCCAGAGCCATGCCCAGCTGTGCAGGAGGGCTTTGCCAGTGTCCCGTCCTGCCCTCAGGCCTCTTCCAGAGGGGAATTGTAGGGGTCAGGTGAGTGCCAGCCAGAGTCCTGGGGAAGAAGCTGGAGGCCCAGGAGGGAAGGAGGGAGGGGGAGACGGCAGGTGTGGTGAATGCACAGCACCCTTGGCGGCGGCTGCCCAGAATGGCCTCTGGGCTATGAGCCCTTTTGCACCCAGCACTGGGGGCAGCTGCCTCTCTGCCCTCCATGCCTGGCACAACCAGGCTTGCTTTGGGGAAGGGGCATGACTCAGTGGGTAGAGGGTGTGCCTGGCACTCGGAGTGTCCCAGGTTGAATTCCCAACATCTTCAGGTGAGGCTACGACGGTCCCCTTGTGTGAAACTGAGCTTGATGCACCAGAGGCCCGACTCAGTATAAGGCAGCTTCGGTCTTGCTGCATTCAACCTGTTTTCTCTCTCTTGCCTCCTCCTTGGCAGCTGCCACTTGCCTCTTTGCTAGAACGAGAGCTAACCTGGTGCTCAGTGTGGCCCTCAGGGGCCTCTATCCCCCTTGCAGCTGCTACTCTCCACACCCGTGTGGGAGAATCTGCAGCCCAAATCACAAAAAGTCACAAACGGGACTCTTTCATGTCCTAGCCTCTAAACCAGGCTTCCTCCTCAAACTCGGCCCTCCAGATGTTTTGAGACTACAATTCCCATGATCCCCAGCTAGCAGGACCAGTGGTTAGGGATGATGGGAATTGTAGTCTCAAAACATCTGGAGGGCCGAGTTTGAGGAAGCCTGCTCTACTTCTTCCTGTCACTATTCGCTCTTTTCCCTAATTGCAATTGGGGGGGGGGGACATTTCTTTGCTCTCCTCCAGAGAGAAAATCTCCATTTTGAACTGGATATTTGTAACATTTCAGGATTATCGCCTGTCTGATTTTTACCACTGTAGCTACTGAACCCTGGCAAGATTTTTGATGTGAGTAAACCTTGCATTTTTCTTGTTTGCTAGACAATCTGAGTGTGATGTCTTTCTTAAGTGGGAAACATAATGGGAGAAAATAATCCAAGTTACCTAAGAATCCTTGGATATCATAATTATTCTGGAAAGTTATGCAACCTTTGTCCTTATAGCTTCTAGAAATAAGGGTGGTGATTATAAACCCTGCTGAAATAGATATTTGGAAGTATAATTGCCAAATAAAATATCCTCTCCCACTTCTCTAAATCCATCCAACGCCCTGCTGCTTTTACCCCTCTCCAAGCAGCTGCTGTCCTTCTCACCTGGGGGGTTGGACCCCATAGCTCCCCTGGCATTGCTCCTAAAGTAGGAGGCCGGCTGTGTGGAGCTGGCCTGAATGGTCCCTCTAGCATCCATCTGCAGCAATGGCCCAGGTGGTCCAGAGGTGGGGAAGGGCAACCTGGAAAGGCATGGCAGGGCGGCAGGCAGCTCTCCTCTCTCCTTTGCCCCCCAGGATCTTGGAGGCAGAATCCCTGGGGCTGTGGGGCTTCTAGCTTTTGCTCTGCTGCCAGCTCCTTCCAGCGCAGGGGCAGGGAACATCTCCAGCCCTTCAGCTCCCTGACTTCACTCACAACTGCTGGACTTGCTGGCTGCTGGGAGTCAGAGTCCTTCAACGCCTAGAGCAGCGGTTCTCCACCTGTGGGTCCCCAGATGTTGTTGGACTACAGGTGCTAGCTAGGGATGATGGGAGTTGTAGTCCAACATCTGGGGACCCACAGGTGGAGAACCGCTGGCCTAGAGGGAGATGGGGGGGGGGGTTCCCTCCTGCACTCCCACCAGCGGGGCACTTTCCAAGCCATAGGCAGGATGTGTGAGTGAGAGTGTTGCATGTGCGTAGCTCACTGTGTAGCCAAAGGCACCTTGGAGAGGGAAGGTGGAAGGCTTTGTGACACACTTGGCAAAGAGGAGTGCCCAGCAGAAGGCAAGCACAGGGACGGGGACACTCCTGTTTGAGTCAGCCTCCTATGGCTACCCTGATCTGCTCCCCACAAGCCTACAAGACCCCCAGAGGTGACTGCTGTGTGGGCAGCCCTAGGGGTCTGTTTCCAAGGCTTTTCCTCTTCCTCTTCCTCCTCCTCCCCAGTCTGCCAGGCTTTCCTCCCTCTCTCCTTTCTCCTGCCAAAACCAAGAATGAACTCCTCCCTCCTGAAGGCTCCCTTGGCACAGTTTGGATCTTTCTGAAGGCAGCTAGGCTGAGGTGGAGAGGAGGCCATAATGCCCTGTGCCACCTGGTGAGCCCAGGGAGGAGTGGCCGGACAGCAGGCGGGCAAGGGTCTTTAGCAAGCTGGACGGTTGCATCCTGCCCCTCTGACTGAGCCAGCTCTGACTGGTACATTTCCAATGCCCGCCTAGCCAGGCACACAGAGGCTGGCCTCCCGTGAGAAAGTGAAGGGGGCAAATCGAGTCAGCTGGGGAAAAGCAGTTGTGAGAAAAGACACAAGAAACACCCTCAAAGCAAGCGGTGGCCCTACGCCAGAGTGGCACTTAGGGGCAGCGAGTGTCATGCCCTCCCACTCCCTGCCAGTGGCCAAGGATGAGGGGAGCTGGGCACCTGGAAGCAGGGGGGGCCTGTCCAGTTTTGCCACCTGAGGCAGCAGGGGAATGTGCCACCCTCTGCTCCCCATGCCCTGCCCACCCAACCGCTTCTGCCACCCAAACATGTTGAAAGGAAAAGGGCCTTCCACAAAGCCTTGCTGCTTGTCTGCTCCCGTTCTGGCAGCGTGGGCAGGGGGCCGCCTCTGGCCCTTCTGCCACCCAAGGAGGCTGCTTCACCTGCCTCATGAGTGGGTCAGCTCCGTTGGGGAGGCACCCCTTTGGCCACCCCAGACAGGCTGCTCTTTCCTTCTTGTGGGGCAATCAGTGCCCAAAGGGCCGTGTGGGTCCCACCCACAGCCCTGGCACATTCAGGAGCTCCTGCAAACCGTGCCCCACTCCTGCTTGGGGCTGCTTTGCCCCCTCGAGTCTTGGTGCTGGGTTGCTCAGCACACAGCTGTCCGCCCCCCTCCTATTCTCTTTCCGTGCCCCTCTTGCCCTGCTCCAGGCCTGTCCAGGATTATAGGTCCGTTGGCACCACTGGCATATCAGATGGTCTTTCCAGCAATCCTGGAGCCAACAAGGGGGCGCCTCAGCTCCTTGTCATGGATCGTGGTGGTTCTGCAGCCGCAACTCCTCCTCCTTTCCTGCCATGGCCCTGCAGGCAGCTGGGGGGGCATCCCCTGGAGGAACCTTGGAATGTTACTGGTGAGGTGGGTCTGGGCGCAAGCGTCCCGACAGGTGGGCGTGTCTCTGGCCATGGGGCCCCGGGAGAGGGATGCTTGCCCGCCTGCCCGCAGCCCCCGCCTGCCCACCTGCCCCCTCCCCGGGCAGAGCGGCCCCCATCAGCTGGTGCAGACGCTGGTGACGGAGGCCCCCGCCCCGGAGTCCACCAAGCCCAGCTCCTCCTGCTCGTTGATACACAGCTGGTAGCCGCAGCCCTTCCGGCGAGGGAGGGGGCCGGCCAGGCCGGGGGACTCGGGCTTGGCCTGGGGGGGCAGCAGGAAGCCCACGCTGCCGGCGATGAGCATGTGCCAGATGCTGTGGATGTAGAAGTAGTTCTCCTCCGTCTCCACAAAGGCGTAGAGCAGCACCGCCGAGGCAGCGATCAGCGCTCCGGGCAGCAGGTAGAAGGTCCAGCGCTGCCACGTGGGAGGGTAGCAGTGCCTCCGGCGGATGCTGCGTGCCGTCTGCGGAGGAAGGAGAGGGGCGTCAGGACCAGTTCTCTAGGTCCCATACAAATAAGTTCTCTATTCTGTGTCCAGGGCGGCTGTCTACCAGCTCCATCTGGTACGCAGGCTGAGACCCTCCCTGCCCGCAGACTGTCTCGCCAGAGTGGTGCATGCTCTAGTTATCTCCCGCTTGGACTACTGCAATGCGCTCTACGTGGGGCTCCCTTTGGGGGTCACCCGGAAACTACAACTAATCCAGAATGCGGCAGCTAGACTGGTGACTGGGAGCGGCTGCCGAGACCATATAACACCAGTCTTGAAAGACCTACATTGGCTCCCAGTACATTTCCAAGCACAATTCAAAGTGTTGGTGCTGACCTTGAAAGCCCTAAACGGCCTCGGTTCAGTTTACCTGAAGGAGTGTCTCCACCCCCATTACTCTGAGGGCCTTCTGGCGGTTCCCTCCCTGCGAGAAGCCAAGCTACAGGGAACCAGGCAGAGGGCCTTCTCGGTAGTGGCGCCCGCCCTGTGGAACACCCTTCCACCAGATGTCAAAGAGAAAAATAACTACCAGACTTTTAGAAGACATCTGAAGGCAGCCCTGTTTAGGGAAGCTTTAATGTTTAATAGGTTATTGTATTTTAGTGTTTTGTTGGAAGCCGCCCAGAGTGGCTGGGGAAACCCAGCCAGACGGGCGGGGTATAAATAATAATTTATTATTATTCTTCTTCTTCATGGAAACAAACGAGAGACGGACAGGATTTCAGGGGCCATAACCCCAGATATGTAAGCCAGCCAGAAATCTTTGCCAAGCGGCCCTGCCTGCCCCCTTCTGGCAAGAGAGCGAGCAAGCAATGTCCCTACTCACCCAGGCGACGGCCATGATCCCTAAGGCAAAGAGGCTGGGGCCCAGGAGGTTCCAGAGCCCGTGTCGATCCAGCTGCAAGGCCATGGAGAGCAGCATGGCGCCCAGGAGGTAGAGCACCTGCCCAGGGGAGAAAGGGGGGGGGCTGTGTGAGTGGGGCGGAGGAACCCTTTGGTGTGGATGCTGAAGATGCACCTGTAGTGAAAGGGATTAAACCATGTGGGTGGCGGGGAGGGGAGCTGAGAGGTCCTCCAAAGATGTGGGGAGGTATGTCCTGAACTGGATTCTTCCTGTGTGCCTGAGAAGTTGCTTTTAGCTCTGTCCAATTACAGTGGTGCCTTGGTTCTCAAACGCCTTGGTTCTCAAATACTGAAAACCCGGAAGTAAGTGTTCCGGTTTCCTAACGTTTTTGGAAGCCAGACATCCAATGCTGATGTCGGCTATTGTTTCCATGGCACCTGCACCAATCAGAAGCTGCTCCTTGGTTTTCAAACATTTCGGAAGTCAAACAGACTTCCGGAACATATTAAGTTTGGCGCTTTTGTTTTTGCTATTTATTTTGCATTTTTGTTTTTGAGGCTTTTTCAGTTAATTTGTTAATTTGTTTTTGCGACTGTGTGGAACCCAGTTCAGCTACTGATTGATTGATTGTGTGACTGTGGAAATGAATAAAAGCCCCCCATCCAAACAATGACTATCATCAGTACAGGTAAGGGGGGGGAAGTACTGTATTTTTCCATGTATAAGACGCCCCCTATAAGACGCCCTGGCTGCCTCCTCTCCTCTCCTGGTGAGGCTTGTGGGATGTTAAACCCAAGAGCCAACATTCCTAGAGTGACCATGCTTACACAAGGGGAGGAATGTTTGTCCAGCCAGCAGGTCAACTTCCTGTTTCCTTCTGGGCTGGGACAGACTTCCTCTGCATGTGACTAGAGGTGGGCGTGGCCTCACCTGCGCAGGTAATGACAAAAGCACAGGGCAGAGCAGCCACCTCTCTCTTTTGACTACATGCATCAAAGCAGCAGCATCTGCTTAGCCAAAGATGCACTCTTGGCCTCCAGCCAAGAGAGGACAAAGGGACTGTCTCCTTATGAGATAGTTTCCAGGTGCATGTTACTTTTCTAAGCTAAGTCTGCCTTCTGGGATCCGACTGTGAACAGAATGATGTGTGAGTAAACCTTTTTATACTTTTATAGAAGACTGTGTCTTGTCTTATCTTTTATGAGGGAATAAGGGGGAAATACCAGAACAGTTATTATAGAGGCTTTAGCGAGCCTGAGCAAACACATTCGCTGTGAGTTTAAAAGGGGGAATGTTACTCTGCTAAATTGTGGAACTAGTAAACACAAGTTGGAAAGGCTATAATCCGACAATATATTCTCTCCTGCATCCCTGCACATTCCCACAAGGCTCCCCACTCTTTTTCCAAGGAAGCCCCCCAGCCCCATAAGTGGCCCCACTGGTCCTGCCACAAACACCAGTGACTCACTGTGGGCATCCCGCGTGGCACTGGCCTCGCAAGGAAGCCCTTCCCCTGTCCTTCTTGCCAAGCTTGTTGCAGATCATAGAATTGTAGAGTTGAAGGGGGACCCTCAGCAGTCATCTAGTCCAACCCCCCACGCTGCAGGTATCACAGCTAGTGACTTCCCACACCTTTGGTCGCCTCACCTGCTTAATGACCATCTGGAGGCGGGCCATGGCAATGACGGTGACCCAGACGGACATGAGGGACCCCAAGAAGTCACAGAACTGCAGCACATCGTAGTCCATGATGCAGAAGACCACAATGCCCGGCTGGTCACAGGCGTGGTAGAACTGGAGGGACGGAAGAAGGAAGGGGCACCGGAAGCTGACTTTTGTCACGCAAAAGCTCTGTGGGACTTTCAGGTGGCACACGGCGTCTTTGCTGTTCTCGCTGCACACAATACCCTGATGGGGTCTGCGCTGGCGCTGACTGAGCAGGAGGAGCAGAGGCGGGAGGGGGGAGGGGTTGGGCAGTGTGGGAAGCGCAAGGGAAATGCCAGCTCCCCATGTGAGAGTGAGGAAAGTGTCTGGGAAGCAGCTGAACATGAAGCAAGCTGTGAGGGCCCACCAAGAAGGCAGCAGTCCTCTTCTCTAGTTGCTTTGAAAATGAGGCTGCAGAGCTGAAAGGTGCCTCAGGGACAGGGACAGAACTAGCTGTTGGTGAGGTTGGCAGTGCCAAGGCTGCAGGCCCAGGGAGGGCATTGCATTAGCAGGAGAGGCAGCAGGCCCTGGCATTGCACTGCTCAGCTCTGGTGCCAGGGAACTTGCCCCACTGAAGTGAGAGGGTTATGGAGCCATGAAGGTTGTTAAGACCAGGAATGGGTCTTAAACAACTCCCCAAAAAACCCAAGTCCCCATCACAGCCTCTAAGGCCAGGACAATGACCGTTGACACAGGCACCAGACATACACAACAGAAAACCAGTCTATCAAATTGTAGCAATAAGCAGATACCATGTATCGTGCTCTTGACAATCCAATACAGAATCAAATAATCACCAAAATTCAGCGGCTTGACCCATTTCCTTGGTTCCAGGGGCTAATGACTTCTCTGGAAGAGTGGAATTCAAGTCTCCCCTGTCTCCACAATCCCTTCAGCATGAGGTCACATCCTTCTTCCCCCTCCACAAGGTGTGAATGTAGCCACACAATAGGAGGTAGGAGGCAGTCAAGACAGAAACCCATCAGGATGGTGGATTGGATCCTGATACTTTCAAAGGAGAAGGGCAGGAAAGCCTTGCAGCCAGGGCGATGTGTGAACACTTTTATTGTTCTTTAGGAAAGAGGGTAGTTCAAAGGTGTGGGGACCTGGGGTTATTGACAGGGGTGGGGGATGGGCTCAAGTTTCTACATGCCAAACCCTCCTACTCTGTGATATATTTGTGATGTATCAATGATGCTGTTGAAGAATGTATTATGGGAAATGGGGAGAGGTCTTAAAAGTTCACGCAACCCCCTGCTCAGGGTTCTTACTCGATGTGTGTGTGAACCCTGGTGCAACAAATAAAGATCCGGTCTACTGACTGCTGTTTGCTTCTTGGCAGGAGATTCCTTCTTTTGCTGACCAGGAGAGACCCATGGGGAGCGGCACCCCAATGAGCTGGGCAGTGGAAGAAACCTGCACCCAGAATTTTCCCTTCACAAGGTGCACAGGAGCTGAGCTGCGCTTTGCCCCCGGGGTGTAACTGCTGCGGTTTTGCTTCATTTTAAGTTGGCTACAGGCTCCGTTTTGAACCTGACTGATTTCTGGACCCGCAGGGCTAGACCCTGGTGAAGTTGGGAAGCCCAACTCCAAGTTGTATTGCTCTTTAACACATTGGGGCTCAGTGCCGTGCAGTCTGTGGACTGGGGGACTAGGTTGGTCCCCTCAATGTTCCCAGCAAACTAGAGTATTAAAGCCTAGCACCCAGGAAACTTCTGCTCGGCTTTAGGGCAGGAGGTGCAATCCTCTGAGTGACACACACACACCCCAATCACCTTCACAGGCTGTTGCCTTTGGGCCTACCTGTTCCCCTACAACCAATTTCACTGCATGCCGCTGTTGGGGCTCCTGGCAAGACCTCTTGGGCCTGGACCGACCCCCACCCCCGGCCTGCTGCCACTCACCGTGGAGAAGAACATGGTGAAGATGTAAACAGCAGCCTCCAAGATGTAGTTGCTCCGGACAGCAATCACCACTGGAGGCACAAACATGAGGTTGCTGAGGCAGAGAAGGAGGGTGGAGAGGAGCTGGAAGCCGTAGGAGAAGGCGGCTGTGTTGTCCGTGCAGCCCCAGCCGCTCCAACCTGAGAGAGAGAGAGAGAGAGAGAGAGAGAGAGAGAGAGAGAGAGGAGTCAGGGCTGGCAGCCACAGGGGGGACCCAGAACAAGAGATGCTGCCATTAGGGATTGTTCTTAGGTAAATACCGGTAACATAAATAAAGTATACTATTCATTTCATCAAATCGCAAATTTCAACGGAATTAACTCATAAAGTTCAACAAACGAACAAATCAGAAGACCCAGTGGATCAGATCATTCTCTAGTCAGTTCATGCATAAGGTCCATCTGTGCAATAGTGTCTGGGCTTCATCAGTAGGTAAAGCTCATATGTGATATTACAGGATGGCAAAACAAGGCCAATATTCTGGAAATCCTTGTCTTAGACTCTGTGAAAGGATTCTGTAACAACCTTTTATGTGGATTGTTTGGAAATTATGAACAGACAGGTGGAATAGACACTATTACACAGATGGACCTTATGCATGAACTCACTAGAGAACTCACTGCTTTGTTTGTTTGTTTACATTATGAGGTACTTCCGTTGAAATTTACGATTTGATGAAATGGATAAAGGTAAAGGGACCCCTGACCATTAGGTTCAGTTGTGGCTGACTCTGGGGTTGCGACGCTCATCTCACTTTACTGGCCGAGGGAGCAGGCGTGCAGCTTCCGGGTCATGTGGCCAGCAGGACTAAGCCGCTTCTGGCGAACCAGAGCAGTGCATGGAAACAACACTTACCTTCCTGCCGGAGCGGTACCTATTTATCTACTTGCACTTTGACGTGCTTTCGAACTGCTAGTTTGGCAGGAGCAGGGACCGAGCAACGGAAGCTCACCCCGTCACGGGGATTCGAACCGCCGACCTTCTGATCGGCAAGTCCTAGGCTCTGTGGTTTAACCCACAGCGGCACCCGCGTCCCTGATGAAATGAATAGTATACTTTATTTACCTAAGAACACAGCCGGTACGTCTCATGTGTTTATTATGCTTTATGTGACCATAGGATTGTTTGTTTGTTGTTTTGCCATTAGGGATTGAGCCTGGGACCCCCCACTGAGCTGTGGCCCCTTCTCTTCCTCCCGGGCTCTGGCGACTGGGCAGAGCAAGGCAGCTTGCTCTGAGAGGACGGTGGCATCGCCCGGCCTCCCTGGGGTCGCAGGTAGGCCAGACTCCCTGCTCTGCAACCCAGACTCCCGGAGCAACTCACCCGCTTTGCACTCGCAGGCTGCATACAGGTAGTTGTTGGTGCGCAGGAGCTTGCACTGGCCGTAGGGGCCGCAGTCGTTGATGCAGGGGGACAGGTAAGTGCGCAGGTAAACCTCGGCCGTCACATTGCCACAGGGCTCCAGCCTGGCAGGGGGAGAAGGAAGGCAGCTGAGGACGGGGCAAGGGATCAGGGGAAGGGGCCTGAAAGGGAGGGAGGCAGTGTGGTGTAGGGGTTAGAGTGTTGGGTTAGGACCTGAGAGAACAGGGTTCAAATCCACACTGGGTGCATTTGGAGCCAGGCGCTGCCTCTCCGCCTAAGCTACCTCACCAGCTTGTTGTGTGAGGATTAAATGATGAGTGGGAGGGGCACTTTGCAGGGGGTTGGACTTGATGACCCCTCTGGGTCCCTCCCAACTCTACAATTTTATATGCCCTTGGAGGCCCCTGGAGAATAAAAGATAAATGCAACAAACAAGCAAATGGAAGAAAGCCTTTGCAGAAGAAGGGGAGGGCAAAAGTGTTGGAAGAACCCTCCCCCTTCCTCTGGGCCCCTCCACCCCGCCCCCTAGACAAGAGTCAGGTCTTATTCGTCTTGCAGGTGTCAGCCCCAAGCCCAGTGGGGTGCAGTGGGGCAGCTCTGCTTGTAATGACAGCAAACGCACACCCGGATCCCACTGGGGCGGGGGCAGAAGTGGCTTCAGAAGTAGGATTAAGCCCCCCCCCATGTGTGTCCCTGGAAGGAACACCCCCCCCCATTCCAGCCAGCCCCTGCTGGAAAAGGAGCCTTGGGGGGAGGGCAGGGGGTGGTCATTGTCTCTCCTGCTGGCAGCCTCACCCACGGTCGGCGGCACACAGCAAGCGCAGACTCAGGTACCAGCTCCCAGTCTGGGGGTACGGGATCCGCAAGCGGGTCAGGGGGGCCGTGGCGTTGATGGACAGGAGGTACCCCGCCAGCAGCTCTGCCAAGGGAGAGGAAAGCAGCAGGTGAGCCCAAAGAGTGGCCCAGAACGTCACCCGCTGGCCACCCACCCACCTTCCCCGCCTGGCAGGGGTGTCTCCCCTTCACTCTGCAGGGAGAGCAGCCCTGGCAAGCCACGGGGGGGGGGGGAGGCTAACCTGGCCTGAGCCTTACCTGTCTCGCAGGTGACTGAGGAGTTCTCTTCGGACGCCAACGGGACCTCGTGATTCAGGCAGGCAAAAACGGTGGCGTTCTCCCCTCGCAGAGAGGACTGTGGAAAGAGACGGCAGCCTCTGGTCTTACTGAGTTGTCAAATGTGCCGTTGAGCTCATTGCCTCAAGCATTCTTCCATGGGGGGGGGGCAGGGTGGTATCCCAAACCCCTGGACCACTTGTGAACTGCTGAGGGTCTTCGTGGACCACTCACAGATTTTCCTGCCTGTTGTAGAAATTGTAATGCGCTGGGCCGGGCCAGATGTGTGATTTTAAAATTTCAATTTTCATTGCTTCACTTATTTCTTATGTTGCATTTTAGTGCATTAAATCCAATATAAGAAAGAGAAGAAGTAATGAAAATACAATTAAAAAATCAATGTGGATATTTAATGCGGACATATCGCAGACTACCTGAATGAATGAGTTCTAGGTCTGGTTTCTGTTTCGATTTTATATTACGTATTTTGTATTCTCATTTTGCATTTTTCTGTTGTGAACTGCCCTGGGATCTTCGGATGAATGATGGTATACAAATTTAATAGATGATGAAGAAGGTGGTGATGGTCACAGACCGCTCGTCGTCAACAGACCACGGCCTGGGAACACGAGCTAAGACACAGCAGATGGATGTTTAATATATTTTAAATAAAATTTAAAATTTTGGAATGAACCCTTCCTGAAGCTGGAGCATTAGACTATCAGTAAGAACAAAAGAAGAGCCCTGGATCTGGATCTGGATCAGGCCAGTGGCCCATCAAGTCCACATCCTGTTCACACCGCGACCAGCCAGATGCCCCAAGGAGAAAAACCCACAAGGGGGATTCAGGGACCAGAGCCCCTCCCCTCCTGCAGTTTCCAGCACCTGGGATTCAGAAGCATCACTTCCTCTGACCACCCTGGCTAGTAGCTGTTATAAGAAAAACTGCTCCTTTTCCCTTATGGGGAATCCAAGAGCCCTTACAGAGTCCTTATGTAGCTTCTCTATCGGTAGGAGAAAATAGCAGAGGCCAACCAGAGAGTATTGAGAAGCAAAGCAGCTAGTAAGCCTGATCTTTATTGACCTGTTGCAACAGGGTCCCCCGCTCACCCCACGAAGGGAGGGAGGAAAGGAACCCAGAACATTGGTGTGCAAGCTCTTATATAGACTTTTGAAACTGCCCACCCTGTAGCTTAAGACCACCCCCCAAAACATCATACATACATCACACAAAGAAGTGGTCTCCAGCAGAAATTTGCGAGTGTTGCTTCTCTCTTGTCTGCCAGGATACCTGATAAGGCCTTACTTGGTTGCCTTTTCTGGGTATCCTGGTCATTCCTTTGAGATGGTAAATACTTCCTGAACCTCTTACACATATTGAGAGTGTGCTCAACTTAACAGATACTTGCCAGGCTGTATTTACAGGAAGGTGTAAGCAGCCCCTACAGTCCAAAGACCATTGGAAAGCTTTTCCCATTTCCTTCCTCCTTGCAGAGAAATATTTGAGGTCCATTTAGGAGAGTCAAAATGGCTTGAGGATTGTTCTCCTGCACTATTTCAGACATGCGCTTTATATACTTATGTACGTGTTTGCCTTGTACATTTATGAACATTTATTTAATGTATATAAGACCTTAGAATTCCTATAACAAAGCCACCGAGAGCCCTCCCCTGCTCCATGGATTTGTCTCATTTAAACCACACGTCTGAAGCAGCACAGGAAAACAGCCCTGAAACCATTTTGACTCCCAAACTGACCAAATGTTTTCTCTGCAAGGTCAAGGAAAATGGAAAAGCCTCCCCATTGTCTTTTCCTTCACAAAGCCTGTCTTAAGGGTATGTCTGTGTTTGAACAGGGTGTGAGCCTGTGACCTGGTCCAGGAACTAAGTATTTATCATTACAAAAGACTGGCCAGGCTCCCCAGGCAATCCAATCAAGTAAGCATTAACAGGTAACTTGCCAGACAGGAGATAAACAATACACCACACTCAAAGATTTCTGTTGTAGACCGCCCTTTCTGTGATGTAGGTATGATGTGTCTGGGGGTGGTCTTGAGCTACACCCCTTCTGTGATGTATGTGTGATGTTTCTGGGGGTGGTCTTGGACTCCAGGGCGGGCAATTTAAAATGTCTATATAAGGGCAGACATACCTTTGTTCTGGGTCCTCCTCCTTTCCTGCGTGAAGGGAGCACGCTGTTGCAACAGTTCAATAAAGATCAGGCTTACAAGCTGCTTTGCTTCTCAATATTCTCTGGTTGGCCTCTGTTATTTTCTCCTACTGATGGAGAACCCACAAAGGACTCTCTAAGGGCTCTTGTGTTCCCCATAGGGGAATAAGGGAAGATTTTTGTTCATTACAAAGCCACTGGGGTTGGGGCCAAAACTGGGAGCAAATTCCATATTCAGCCTCAGCACCCCCACACTCCTGCTGGGGCCCCACAGGCCTGAGCTCCCCACTCCCCACTAGCCGCTTCCTTGCCAGCGCTTCCCTTGCCCACTCTGAGGTCCCACAATCCGAGCCCCCCCCCCCGAGACTCACCACATTCAGCCTGAGCTCCAGGTTGAGGGCTCCTCCGCTGTCCAGGATGGGCAGGAGGTTGATGGCAAAGATGGCCGGCCGGTCGGGGGGCACCGAGACGTTGGGGCCAAAGAAGATGTAGAAGTGGACGGAGAAGGTGTCCAGCTCGTTGCGCAGGGTGGGGCGGATGGGCCGGCAGCACTCGCTGGCCGCTGGCCCCGGACTGGGCGCCGGGCGCTGAGTGCTGTTGAGCACAGAGGGGGGCAGGACCTCCGCCAGGGGCAGCCCCCCCATGGAGCCAAAAGAGTGGGGCATGTTCAGGCTGGAGCCCGGCAGCTGGAAGAGGGCGCGAACGAGGCCAGTCCGAGAGCAGTCTGGGGGGGGGGGAGAAGCAGAAGGGGGCAGGTCAGGGGACAGGTGCTGGCAGGGCCCCCTCACCTCCACCAGGTCTGTCTGCCTGTCTGTCCCCTCCCTTGGCTCTGAACCCCGGCTGGGCAAGGGCCTGGAACCCCCCACAGCCTTGCACCGCTTGGAGATTGTGATGATGTGTAATGGTATTATTTTAATGTAATAATAATATGATAATAATTTGAAATTTATACCCCGCCCATCTGCAGTCAAACCAACAATCCATGTTTTGCTAGACAGGTGCATGACAGGAGCTGAAGCTCGCGGAGTTTTCCTGTAAGTTTGCAAGAGGAACTCCGTGAGAGAGACTCCACTGTGCCCTGATAGGCACATAGCTGTAGATATTCTCCTTACCTGCAAGGTCTCTTCCTCGTCTCTTCACCACCAAGCCAGAAAGTGAGGACATCTGCTAAGTCTGAGTTCCAATTCAAGCTAGACTTAAGGATGCCTTTGTACCCAAATTACCATTGTAAGCCTGTCTGAGCAAAGCTGCAATATCTGAGTATTCTGAGTACAGTGGACACTCAGGTTGCGAACGTGATCCGTGCGGGAGGCACGTTCGCAACCCGCAGCGCTGTGTCTGTGCACACGCAGGTTGCGACCCGGCGCTTCTGCGCATGTGCAAAGCGCAATTTAGTGTTTCTGTGCATGCGTGAGCGCCAAAACAAGGAAGTAACCCGTTCTGGTACTTCCGGGTTTGGCTCGGTGCGCAACCTGAAAACGCGTAACCTGAAGCGTCTGTAACCTGAGGTATGACTGTAAGTGTTATTTTCACCCTCCTGGGCGGTCCTCCTCCTCCTCACCCACCCCCGATTCTTCCTTAGCTGAGGATTGAAGGAGCCTCTCTATACCTTGCCTTGTTCCTTGTCCGCTTGCAGATTCCCAGGAGGCCTTTGTAGGACCCCCCCCGCCTGCTCTGCCCCTCCTGCCCCAGTTCCTCCCAGTCCAGCCCCTCGCTCACCCTTCAGTTGCACCACCAGCTGGAAGTTGACATTGGTGGCCACTCCCAGGTACTTCTCCACCAGGATGTAGTACCAGTTCTGCCAGAACGGGAGGTCCAGGGCCAGGCGGCAGGTGGGGCGCCCCCGGCAGTCCACGGCGGTGGAGTTGTGCAGGGGGGGCGCCTTGCCACGCACTTTTAGCCACAGCGGGCAGCCCTCCCCGCTCTGGTTGGCGCCGTGGCAGTTCCTGAGCTGCACCAGCACCCGGGATGTGTAGCTCGGGATGAAGACCCTGGAGAAGGTAGGAGGAGGAGGTTGGTTGGTTGGTTGGTTGGTTGGTTGGTTGATTGATTGATTGATTGATTGATTGATTGGTTAGTTGATTGATTGATTGATCCAAGGATCTAAAGGGCTCCCACCCTGCCCGTCAGCCCTGGCTCTCCCTTCAGAGAGAAGCAAAGTGCCTTTGAGCCCCAGGACTCATTCCTGGGGGGGAGGGGAGGGGGGGCTCTGAGCCAGGAGGAGCTCATCCCAGGCTGCCTGCAGGGGGCCAGCCCTACCATGAGGCCATGTGAGGTGGCTGCCTCAGGTGACGGATGCAGAGGGGCGAAGAGCAGACTGCTGGGTGTGCACCGTGGGCTGGTTACGCCAGCTTTTGGTGCAGGAAGCTGCTGGCCCACTCCCAGGGAGGGAGGAAGAGTCAAGGGCCAGTCTGGCCAGAATGGGGGGGGGCATTTCTCCATTGCCATGTGTCTGGCACTGGCCCCCTCCTGCTGGGCAAGGAAAAGAGGGTTTGGGGAAGAATTAGGGGGCAACTCAGGAGACCCTCGGCTTTTCTTTAGGGATGCAGTTCCAGCCCTTGAGACTGCAAAGTGTTGAGTGTTGGGGGAGCAGGACTACTGGGGGGGCACCTCAGGACCCTGCATCACCCCTTCCTGTTTGCTATGCGGACTTCCAAGGAAAGGCAAGGATGAATATCCAGCAGGAAGGCTGGGACCTGCATTAATTGATTATGAGAATCAAGCAAGTCTTCCTGCAGGTGTCCCACAGCATGATTAATTATGCAAATGAGGTCACTCTTCATGCAGATGCCCCTCTAGCATTATTCATTATGCAAATGAGGTCACTCTTTGTCTATATGCCCCTCTAGCATTATTAATTATGCAAATTAAGTCACTCTTCCCATAGGTGCCCCTTTAGCGTGATTAATTATGCAAGTCAAGTCGCTCTTCCTCTGGGGACCCTGCTAGCATTTTCCCTCCTCCTCCTCTTCCCCACAAGCAGGGGCAGGGCATCTGGGGGGGGCGCTGTCTCCTTTGCGCACTCACTTGTACAGCAGGGAGCGGTTGTGGGGGGAGAGGACGTGCTCCGTCACATAGCCGGGGTACAGCACCCCAATCCCCACCAGGCGCTGGACGATGAGCTGGGGCTGGAAGAGGTACTGGCAGTCTTCAGCAAGGCCCTGTTGGGGGGGGGACACGGTTAGAAGGGGGACCCCCAGCACCCCCAGTCGGGCAAGTGGCCCAGATTCACCACTAGAACTTTCAGGAGGACCCTCCACCCAAACACCCAGTTGCCAGGATGACGCCAAGCTGGCAGCCAGGCACCCCACCCCCAGCAAGCTATAGGTTGCCCAATCACAGCAGCACAGCATCTCCCCCCCCAAGCCTGGTGATCAGCTGTGATTCCTGGGGCTGGACTAGATGACCATTTGTGCCTCTTCCAACTCTACTATTCTATTCTTCTTGTGGTCTGCAAAGAGGGCAAGCGGGGCTATATGATGATGATGATAATAATAATAATAATAATAATAATAATAATAATTTATTTATACCCTGCCCATCTGGCTGGGTTTTCCCTAGCCACTCTGGGCTGCTGCCAGCAAAATATAAAAATACAATGAAATATAGAAATACAATAAGTGGGTAGGTGGAGGCCCAATGCCTAAGACGTTGGGTGCTTGGTTGTAGGGGGCTGGCGTGGAGCTGGGACTGAAGGCAAGGAGTGGCCAAAGAGGGGGCTGGAGGCTGTGAGTGGGGCTGGGCTGCTGGCATTCATCCCCAAGAGTCGAGCCAAGATGAGCTGCCTTGCACTGGGCCAGATTCCCTTGGAGCTCGTGGGCGCTCCTTCCTTGGAGATTTTCAAGCTGAGGTTGGATGGCTGTCTGTCAGGGATGCTTTAGTTGAGATGCCTGCATCCAGGGGTTGGACTAGATGATCCCTCGGTTTCCCTTCCAGCTCTACGAGACTACCTGTCCTCACAGCCCTGGGCTTTTCACCTTGACTGCTTGCCACATCTCACTGCTTCAGGTCTTCCCCAGCCCTAGTCAAGAGACTCTCTTAACCGAAGGGAAAGCCTTAATAAAAACTATGTAAAAAAGAATAATGAAGGAGTCATCCTCACCTAGGGCCGACCCACCCATGAGGCAAGGTGAGGCAGCCACCTAGGTCAGGAAACTCTGTGTCCCTTCCCCAGCCCAGCCCTGGCTGGCCAGCCGAGAGGCTGAGCAGCTTCCTCACCTTGACGGAGATCTTGCCCTGCTCTTTGGGCAGGTGGGCAGCCAGGAACCAGTCCCCAGGCAGGGGGCTGGTGATGTTGAAGACGCCCGTGGTCCGGTTGGGCAGGGTCCAGGTGAGCGTGAGGGCAAAGGAGCCTGGCACAGCTGTATCCCGGGGGAAGTGGGTGCGCAGAGGGTTGATGACAGGGGGCGCCCCAGAGCGGAAGTACCTGCCAAGGAAAGAGGGGGAAGGTGAGTGGAGGAGCCAGTGTGTGTGTGAAAAAGAGAGAGAGAGAGAGAGAGAGAGAGAGAGAGAGAGAGAGGAGAGAGAATTCAGGGGAATTCAGAGGGAGGGGGGAAATGAAGAAAATAGGGGGTGGGTGGGTGTCTTTATTGATTTATTCCATCCTGTGCCCAGGCCAGCAAGCTACAAAACAGCAACAGCAACACATTCAGAGCTCAAATGAGGGGTGATTGAGTCATAGACTCCTAGAATTGTAGAGTGAGAAGGGACCCCGAGGATCATCAAGTCCAACCCCCTGCAAGGCAGGAAGATGCAGCTGTCCCATTTGGGGAATTGAACCTGCAACCTTGGCGTTCCTAAACTTCTCTTTTGAGTTGAGTGTAGCCCGAGCAGATTCCTGTCCAGCCTCTCTCTTTTCGGGGGGGGGGGGCTCCCAGGACAGCGTCTCCAAGCCGGCCATGGCCCCCTTGACAGCCCCTCCCTATGGCCAATTTGGTCTGAGGCAAATACAGTCCGTCTTCCCTCCCTTCTCTCCTTCTGCTTGCCTGCTTGCCATCCCATCAACACCTCCAGCCCAGCTTCAGGACACCAGGGCTGCTGGGGGCAAAGAGGGGGTCTGGGTGCATTGGGGGCAGCTGCCTATTGGCTAAGGCTGATGGTGGGGCAACACAGTTCATGCTCCCCCATGCCTGGAATAGTCTGGAAAATGTTGCTGAAGCTCACTCATCTTTCTGTCCCATTTCCTTCAACATTGGGGGGGGGGTGCAGAACCTCTGCTGCAGGTTTGCCTGACAGGCGATGCCAAAAGTGTGACTGGTGGGCCACCCTGTGACCCCCCCCCCATTGCCATGCATCAATCTCCCCTGCCCCCCGCCCGGCCTGGCCTGGTTCCCTCCACCGTGAGCCCCTGTGGGAGGGAGGAGTGGGACCCTCTTGGCGGAGAGGGGGGCTGGTTTCTTCTCCCCCAGGCTTGCTGGGGACTTGGCAGGAAGTGATTTTCCACCCTCTTTCCCCATTTTCTCCTGCGGGGAAGCAGATGGCGATGGGAGGGGTAGGGGAGCGCTCCGGTTGCCTTGGAGAAGCAACCATCGCTTCTTCCTTCCCCTTATTCTTTCGAAATTTCATTTCAGTGCTGGGTTATTAATATTGATCTTCAGCGTCGTGGTCTGTGTGTTTGTGTGTGCGTTTGTGTGTTTGTGCTCACGTCTCTGTGTGTGCGGCTTGGAAGGGAAGGAGCAGGAAGATGACTCATGCGGAAGATGGTTCCCTATCTGGAAATCTCAGGAAACATTCCAGGCAACAGATGGTCCACTTGGCCAATGCCTCTTCCACCCTCTGAGGCTGGCCGGAGATGCCCGCCAGAGCCACCTCTTTCGGGCAAGCCATGACCACCGAAGAGGCCCAAGGGTGCTTCAGGTCTATGGGGTGGCGCCCAGGTCCTTTCTCCTGGCTCCTGCTGCATAGACGTGGTGAGGCAGCTGGGACTTCTCCTCAACAGAAATCTCCTTGTCATAGCTATCCATAATATCTGTAGATTCTGGTATATAGGACAACTTGTTAACCCCGGAAAAGAGGTTAAAAAGTCAGGGGTCATCTTATACACCGGGTATGGCTGCAGTGGGCAGCAGCCTCTGCTCCACACCGGGAGGAATCCGCCCAGCGAAGCTGCCCAGGGATGCTAAGCCGGCTTCGCTGGGTGGCTTCCTCCTGGTGCGGAGCCCACCGCCCACTGCTGCTGCCCAGCAAAGCTGCCGAAGCGTATAAGATGACCCCCCAGCTGCCAATTTGGGGGGTCGTCTAATACGCCCAGTCGTCTAATACACTGGAATCTACGGTACTATATTTTTCGCTCCATAAGACGCACTTTTTCCCTCCTAAAAAGTAAGGGGAAATGTGTGTGCGTCTTATGGAGCGAATGCAGGCGGGAGGCTCTGCTCAGCCCTCCCTTTAAAGAGCCTCGCGGAGCGTGTGTGCGGCTCTTGCTGGCTTTTCCCCGAGGAGGGCAGCCCATCCGTCCCTTCTCCCTCCTCAGGGAAAAGCCCCCAAGAGCCACACACACACTCCGCACACTCTTTAAAGGGAGCGCTGAGCAGAGCCTGGATTTTCCCTGAGGTGGGAGAGGGGACAGACGGGCTGCCCTTCGTCCCTTCCCCACCTCACGGAAAAGCCAGCAAGAGCCGCACACAGGCTCGGCTCTTTAAAGGGAGTGCTGAGCAAATTCAGAATATTTTTTTCTTGTTTTCCTCCTCTAAAAACTAGGTACGTCTCATGGTCGGGTGCGTCTTACAGAGCGAAAAATACGGTAGATCACTGCAATGCATTATACAAAGGGCTGCTTTTGAAGTCTTCCCAGAAACTTCCATTAGCCCAGAATCCTCACTGGGGAAGCTTGAAGGAATGGGCCTCAGCAGCCCCACTGGCTCTAGGTCCTTCTCCAGGCGCAATCACCTTTCAGTCCATAGCTTGGCCTGGGGGCCCCTCAAGGATTCTCTCCCCATTTGTGCATTGAGAGCCTCATCAGAGACATTTCTCCAGGTGCCTCCACCATCAGAGATGAGGGCAGCCTTCCCCAGGCAGATGCCCCCACCAGGCGTCATCCGCTGTGTTTGACATGCCTTTGCCATTTCGAAGTTTGATGTGCGTCTCTTAAATATTGTAAACTGCTTTGAGACCCGAGGTGAAAGGCTGCTTCGATTTCATGTTTCAATAAATTGAAATGAGCAATAATTTGGACTACACAGAGAAGCGTTTGGATTTGATATTCCACTTTATCACTACCCTAAGGAGTCTCAAAGCGGCTCACATTCTCCTTTCCCTTCCTCCCCCACAGCAAACACTCTGTGAGGTGAGTGGGGCTGAGAGACTTCAGAGAAGTGTGACTGGCCCAAGGTCACCCAGCAGCTGCAGGTGGAGGAGCGGAGACGCGAACCCGGTTCCCCAGATTACGAGACTACCGCTCTTAACCACTACACCACACTGGCTCTCACTACCCCACAGAATACAAGGTTCCCTCGCTAGGTCTGCCCCATTCTGAGCATTCCCCAAGAGATCAAGAAGCACTTGGCTGTCCATCTGACCTCAGGAGGGATGGCGTTGCAGGGCAGCCTGGCTAGCAGATTTCAGGCTCATGAACCCTCTCCAATCTCATTGCAACATAGGCACCACAGGAGGATGCAAAAGGAAGAGGCGACACCCAGCTCTTTCTCCTGGAAGCAGCCGGGACTCTGTCCCAAACCCAGCACTGCCCACTCTGGGGAAGCTGTGGGCACAGGGGCGGCAGGAGTCTGTGCAGCCAAGAGGCTGAGGTACCCTTCCTCCCTCCCTCCCTCCCTCCCTCCTTGCCCCGCCTGGTTCCCCTGACTCACACAGTGATGCTTCGGTCTGGGCACTGGTCCCCAAAGGTGCCCCCCTGCTCTTTGAAGGTGATGAGGTTCCAGACGGCCACGACTGTGTCCTCTGGGATGCGGAAATGGAAGAGCTCGATGCTGGTGAAGGAGCGGAAGGGGTTCAGCTTGCGGGGGGTCCGGGTGAAATAATCGGTGACGAAGAGGCCTTCTGAGAGAGAGGAGAGGAGAGAAGTGGCAACACTGGATCAGCATTGAGCTACAGAACACCTCCTCAGAGTAGCCCTTCCTTCCCCCACCCTCTCCACCAGTCTGCACAGAGCACTCAAAACCCCAGGTTTGCTAGGTGAGCAAAGGATTAAGACACATGGAGTTTCCTGCACAGTCCCAGGCACTCTGTGAGGTTGTTACCGGAAAAATCCGAGGGCTCCCTTGGACAAAAAGTAAAGACACCAACCAGAGTAAATTGGAGCAAAACAGCAGCCTGTAGGCTTGGCCTTTATTGAACTGTTGCAACAGGGTGCTCCCCTCACTTGCAGGAGAGAGGAAAGAACACAGAAAAATGGTGTGCAAGGCCTTATAAAAACTTTTGAAATTCCCATCCTGTAGGTCAAGCCCACCCCCAGAAGCATCATGCATACATCACAGAAAGGAGGGGTTGAGGGAGGGGTGGTGGTGGTGGTAACCTGAGTGTCCTGTCACCTGGCTGGTTCCCTTCTCCCCCTCCCCATGAGTCATTTTCAGAAGACAAAAGGTAGTCGCAGTTTCCTGCCCCCTGAGGGGGAATCCAATCACTGTTCTTTTGTTATAGTAAATCCACTCGTGTATGCAGTCTGTTGTGTTGTTATTGGTCTTCTGTCTGAGACCATCAGAGTTGGCATAGCAACTGGGCAGGGCTCCTGTGGATGTGCTGGGATGGTGAAGGGATTATGGCTGGCCTGTATCAAACCTTCCCCATTTTGTAGTCCTTCCTTCATGGAGTAAAATAAAAGTGGAACAGTGCAAATCCGATGTATGGTTGATTTTCTATGAATTTATAACAGAAGCGTAGCGTATGTAGTGTGTGAGTGTGAGTGAAGTTTGTACAAACTGAATGACTGGGGGCGGGTTTCCTGCAACAAGGTCACTTCCTCTGCTTGTCCAGGTGGGAAGAGAAACAACAGGAATGTCACTTTCTGCCACCTGAGGAACAGCTTCTTTCTTTCTTTCTCGTCATGCAGCCACAGGGAGAGGATACGGGGCCTGGGCACAGACACCATCTTTGATCTAAACCAGGCATAGGCAAACTCCGGCCCTCCAGATGTTTGGGACCACAATTCCCATCATCCCTAGCTAACAGGACCAGTGGTCAGGGATGATGGGAGTTGTAGTCCCAAACATCTGGAGGGCCAGAGTTTACCGATGCCTGATAAACCATATATTTTGTCATCTAGAAATCTGTTTTGCCTGACTTATTTCACTGTTATTTTCAGCTTGATTCACAACTGCAACTTTATGTGATTCAGCAATATTTTTATATTCTTACATTGCAGACTTCTGTGTTGTTACTTTGTTCAGAGGGATAATTGTAGAAAGTGACATAGCTTTGTCCCACGTTTCTGTGTTAACACTGCAAAGGGTGGTATATTTTTAACTCTGTTAAACCAGACTCTAATCTTGCTCAAGTGAGTAAGCAGAAGGATAATTAAGAAATAATATATCCTATTATACTTTCCAAATCCATCCCAACAATTCTCCCCCTTTATGTTGCAATGCCCTGCCATGTGGCCAGCCCTCTCCGGACATCTCTCACAGGGGCAGTCAGTCAGTGAGCCCCACACATTAGCTTTTCCAGCCCTGCCAGGAATTAGGCCCATTGATCCAGCCCCTGCCCTACGCCCCTGTCTAGGTCAACCCCAAATGGCAGACCAAAGCTGGAAATGAGAATCTCTCTCACCCCCAACCCAGGAGAGGATCAATACACAAACCTTGTCCTTCCCAGTTGCTGCCCCTCCCACCACACTCCTTGGGCACCTGTGCGAGATGCAGCCATGAGCATGCTGGAGGGGGGGGTGCCAACGCCTCACTCCCCACCCACATCTGCCCTCTTCCTTGGAAGATTAACAGATCTCCTTCCAGCTGAGAGAGAGAGGAGACTTTGAGGTCCTCCTAGGGGTTGGCCAGGCTGGTTCCCACCAAGGGTCCAGATCCAGGGGAGGGCGCAAAAACTGCACCTCTCCACTCTGGCTCCTCTGGCGAGGGTGCAAGGCAGCTTAGGTGCACCTCTGCATTTAGGGTGCGGCATTGACATAAGACTCAAACACTGTTTAGCGTAGGGAGACTTTCCTTCAGCAGTCCTCAGAGCAGAGAGCCTTCCGTCAACCTCCTGCCCTGGCCAGCCACAAACAGCCTCCACAGATCACCTGTTGCCTAACCGGTGGGCATTGCCTGGCACTCCCTGCTCCGTCACCGTAGGAGCAGCCCAGATTCACTCATTTCCAGCAGGAGGAGGAACAAGCAAGAAATCGCAAGGCCATCCTGTGCAGAGCAGCGAGATTTCTCTCCTACTCTGCAGAGGATGGAAAAACACACGCTCCAGCTTCAGAAGTGAGAGATGGCAGCAGCTGACAGAGAGAGGAGCCCCTGCCAGGGCTGGTGTGTGGGAAGAGAGGAGCAGCATGGCTCTGGAGCGGCTGCCTTTGTTTCGCAGAAGACGGATGGGAACCTGCTCTGCTTCTCTCTGCAAGTGGGCAGCAAGGAAGGGGGAGGCCAAGACTGGCAGCTTTGCTTATGATGCGTTAGCAGCCCCAAGGAGCCCCTAGGAAGGAATACAGAGCCTGCTGCCTCTGACCAGCTGGTCCAGCATCCTCTTCTCAAAGCGGCCAACCAGGAGCCTGGAGGAAAGCAGCCAGCAGGATCTGAGCACAAGAGCAACTCTCCCCTCTTGCAGTTGCGGGCACACGCACTAAACCCTGTCTGTGGCGCCTACCCCTTTACCCCAAATGATGAGACAAGAGACCAGAGTAGGGGTTCAAATTGGCCACAACTTGATTGAGCTTCAGAAGTGGGGAACGTGGCACAGGCCTTGGCAGGTCACCCTCTCAGCCCACCTGGCTGAGGATATGCAGGCAGATGAAGTCCAGTGAGAGGGGACTGCAAAGCGCAAACTTACACAGCATGCCCTTCCACCAACCTAGTCCTGGGAGTTTGACCTACATGCCGCCACTCAAGCAAGTGGGTGGCACCTGCCCAGGTGAGCCCCGCTGGGTGCCGCAAACCCTGCCCGCCTGTGGGGAAGGGAGGGCGGAAATTCCCAGCAACTGAGATTGGGAAGCATTGCTGCCTCTGACTGTGGAGAACAGAGCAGAGCCATCGTGGCTAGGAGTTACTGACCCCCCCTTACTTCATGAATTTGTGTAATCCTGTTTTAAAGCCATCCAGGTTGGTAGCCTCCTGAGTGAGTGAGTTCCCCAGTTTAACCCTCTGCTGCATGAAAAAGGACTTTCTTTTATCTGCCCTGCATAGACTGATTCTCTCTCTCTCACCAACATATGAGAGTGCAGCTGCCTACAGGTTCCTTGACTTTCCATGACCAGGGGAGCATTTGGAATTGTTGTGGCCTTCACAGCAGTGTCTTAACACACCATGTGTGGCCTATAACCATCCTGGCCAACAGTGTGGCTGCTTCACTCTGAACCAGCCAGAGTCACTGCACACTCTTCCAAGACAGATCTTTGGGGAGTGCATTGCAGTAGTCCAAGCAAGATGTGACTAAGGAATGTCTCCATCTGGCCAGATCTGATGTCTACGCAAAAGCCCTCCTGGCCACTGCTGGAGTCAGGACATCCAGGCTCAGGGCTCAGCCAGGGTGTTCCCCCAAACGGCCAGCAACCCACTCCTTGACCAGGTGAGCCCCTCCTCCCTGTCCTTTCTTTTCTCCTGGCCAGGACCTGGCTGTCTTGCCTAGACTGAACCTGAGGAGCCTCCCCCTCCCCAAGTCTAGTCCCAACATCAGGTGCTGATTCAAAACTTGGTCCAAATTCCTTCAATTTAGATGGAAAGGAGGGGGAGAGTAAGCTTAGTGTCATCTGCATACTGGCGAAACTGAACCCAAAAACCCAAAGCAACCTCACCTGTTGCCACCTTTCTCCACCCTCCCCCCCCATGAGTTTTGAACCTCCATCTGCACCAGCCAGCAGAGTCAACAGAAAAGAACTAGTTACAGGTAGGTAGCTGTGTTGATCTGCCGTAGTGGAAACAAAATAAAAAAATTCCTTCCAGTAGCACCTTAGAGACCATCTAAGTTTGTTATTGGTATGAGCTTTCTTGTGCATGCATACTTCTTCAGATGCACATGAAAGCTTATACCAATAACAAACTCAGTTGGTCTCCAAGGTGCTACATTTTTTTATTTTGTTTCGACTATGGCAGACCAACACAGCTACCTACCTGTAACTAGAACGATGGAAGGCACCACACTGAGCTGCATGAAGAGAAAAGAACTGTGCAAGTTTTGGTCCAAGACAGCAGGAGGGCTTGAGGCTGGGCGTGGCGGCCTCAGTTCAATGGCAAAGGGGTGTGCCAATTCCCAGCAGCCGCTTCCTCAGGTAGGGCTGGGCAAACCCTAGAGAGTCACTGCCAGGCAGTGCCAACAGCACTAAGCTGGCTGGACCGAGGGCCTGGCTTGGCAGCTTCCTAGCCACCCCCTTCCTTCTCTGTGAAGCACCATGTACCTAGGTGATTTTATATAACAAACAAGCGAGCCTGGAGCCCCTTTGCAATGGCATTGCATCTGAATCTAGCGGCCTCTCCTGAGATCATCTGCTGCCTTTAGGATACCCAGATTTGGGGAAAGGAGATCACAGGATGGCTTCTGAACTACCTCACAGCCACGAGGCTGGCAATCCCTTTCTTCCCCCTGGCATTTGCTGGGCAAAGGCACACTCCACCTTCGAGCGGAGAGCGGCGACGTGCGCATTCCAAGTCTCCAAAGAAGACAAAGAGGAGATGCCTTAATGAGGGCGATCCCCTCCAAGCCTGCAGGCGAGCGGCCTTAATGGGAAATCCCAGCAGGAGCTGCCCAGACTCCGGAGCCTCCCGAGGGCGCGGAGGAGACAGCCCAGCCGGGGGCTTTGCAGGAGCAAAGGAGCGGAAGCCCCCCCCCCCCCCCGCCCAGGCACGTCCTTGGCGAGGCGTGTTGGGAAGCGCATGCATGTAAACAGAGGAGGAGGCTCCAGCTGGATGCCCACTGCCCGGGGAGCGCGGTGCTTCCCTCCGAACAAAGCCCGCGCATCGCACAGGGACCAGGCTGTAAATCAGGCTAAGTGCTGTCAGCCTCCGCCATAAAATACTTTTTTGTAAGTTCAAGGGAGCACATATAATATTCTGCCAGCCATTTCCCTCTCCATGAAAATGATCTCATTATTCTTGCTGAAAGCCATCAATTACCAGGTAATTAAATGTCCTGGGATGTTAGTGACAGTATCACTAAATCTACGCCCGGAGTTATGAAGCCCGGCAAGCCACGGACGCCGCCGGCTCCAGAGAACGATCGGCGGGCAAGACCCAGGCAGGAGGGTGTCCATTAAAAATGGCAAATGTGCTCCCCCCCCCTCGCGCCTGACCTCCTATTTAACGAGGGAGGGGAGTAAGAGCGGGCGGGGAGAGTGGGAACTGGGCCAGCGAAAGCAGCGGAGGCGGCAGTTCCCCAGTTGGGAGCCAGGAGAGGAATAGGCAATGAGAGCGCCGGGGGAGAGCCCTCGTGGTTTATTTAACCAGCAACGTAATGACGGATAATTTATTCCCGTGATTGAATTTAGACGGAGAGGACAGGAAGGGGCCACCGAGGCTACAGACAAAGGGGACTCTGTTCGCGGGGGAGAGAGAAGCGATGGTACTGAGAGGCGGCTCGGAGGAGGACAAAGGCGCTTGCCTGTCAATCTCTTCCCGAAGCCCACCTGGTCCGTGTGACTCGCACATCAGGCCAAAGGGAAGCTTAAGCCCCCGGGGCGGCCGGGGCTCCCCCCCCCCACACCGCACATCCTTCGACCGCTGCCCCCTCCCTTCTTCCCGACCCGGGGAGGGTCTTTGCATCGCTCCCTTCACTGTAATGTCCTCAGGGCAGAGACCTGGCGCACGCGCGCGCGTCTGCCCACTTGTTTTACTCTGGAAAACAACATTATTATTCCTTAAATTTCATCCGAAGATCACAGGGCGGTTTACAGTATAAAACGCGAGCTGCTGGTAACCTGTTTACAATTCAGAGGGACACCTCCGAGGCTTCCCTGCACGATTATCTCAAAGCCCTTTGGGGTTGTTGTTTTTTAGGAGAGGGGCGTAAATCCTTAGCGGTCGGAAAGGGGCGAGCAACTCCCCAGAGAACTACCGGGTAGAGGGCAAACGGGGCCGGTCGGGCAGGCTGTGGCGACCCTCTTCCTTCCCGCCGGCCGGCCGGCCTCCCCTCCCCCAGCCAGCTGGAAGGCAGCTCCAGCTCCCGGCCGCCCCCCCTCCCTCCCTTTCAGCACCAGGGCGGGGGACAGCACCCCGGGCCTCCCAGCTGCGGCCTCTCTTTCAGCAGCGGAGCGACGCCTTCAGCACCACGCCGCGCTCGGACAGCTCCCGGTCCGCCGCGCCCGTTTCTCTTCCCGCGGGGGCGGCGCTGGTCCCGAGACTCCCCCGCTGCCCGCGCGTTTCGGGGGGGGCGCCCTCCCTCCCCCCGGGCTCTCCCCTCCCCACTCACCGGCCGAGCGTCCCAAGCTGAGCCAGGCGAGCAGCTGGAGCAGCAGCTGGAGCCGCCCGAGAGCCGCGCGGCCCATGCTGCGCCCGGAGCCGAGCCGAGCCGAGCCGCCTCCCCGCCCGCCTGGACGCTGGGCTGCCGGGCTCCAGCAACAGCAGCAGCAGCAGCAGCAGCAGCCATGACGTCAGGCTCAGCTGCCGCCCGGAGCCTCCGCGCGTCCCCCATTGGCCCAGCGCACGAGGCTGCCTGGGGAGGCCACGGCCCATTGGCCGCCGGAGCTGCCCGTCACTCGCCGCTCTGCAGCGCCGGCCGCCTCCGGACCAGAGACCGGCCAGATGCAGGCAGAGGAGGAGGAGGAGGAGGAGGAGGGCGCCTGGCAGAGCTGCCCGGCTGGGGGAAGTTCGGGGGGGGGCGTTCCGGGTGCCTTCGTAGAGCAAGGGAGAGACTCTGAGAGGGCTCTGGGGGTGAGCCGCCAAGCCCTCCTTCCCCCTGCCCCAGAGACGGGGTCTGCTGGGCCCACCGGGGAGTCCGGGCTTCTCCACCATCTTCCAGCTCCACAGAAGGAGCAGGAGGGCATTCCCTCCGCTGACCGGGTCGCTACCCCAAAACCAGAGTGTCCTGCCCAAGCAGAGGATGAACGTTGAAGGGGGGGATGGGTTGGCCCGGCCCCGCAAAACAACTTGACTGATTCCTCCCCGCCCCCCACGCGAGACAATTGCAGGGGAATATGTGGAGCTTGATGCACAGACACCCCCCTCCACGCACGTCGCTTCCACGCTTTCGCCCCCCTGCTTCCAGCTCAGCATGAGGCACCTGAATTCCCAGATTCGTGGGGATGACTTAAGCAGCTGCACAGCCCCGTCTGGGCGTGACCCCCCCGAGGGAGCATTGCCTCACTTCGCCGGCTGAGACACCGGCAGCTGCAGAGACCTGGCAGGGAGGAGCGGAGTCCCGAGTCAGCCCATTCCTTGTGGCCGAGAGGCGGAGGCAGGGCTGGTGTTGAGCGCGGGACTCGCCACGGCAGGCGCGCGGAGTTCCTCCGTGCATGGTTTCTTCCTGCGCGCCCCCTCCACGCTCCCGAAAGAAACACGCACGGGAACAAAAGTAACTTGTGAAGCATCCTCTGGCCTGGGTACCATCCTGCTCAAGTGGCCGAAAAGCGTCTTCTTGAAGGTCTCTTGCTGAGCTGTGATAGTCGCTGTGTTTGGAAGGAAAGGAAAACAAGAGCTTGCAGGAGCCATAGCCCATCTAGTCCAGCCTCCTGTTCTCCCACTGACCAGCCAGATGCCTGCGGGAAACCCAGAAGCAGGATCCGAGCACAAGGGCCCTCTGCCCTCCTCTGGTTTCCAGCCAGTGGCATTCAGAAGCATTGCTGTTTCCAACTGCTGAGGCAGAGCAGAGCCCTTGTGGGAATAGTCCTCTTCTCCGTGAATTTATCTAATCCTCTTCGAAAGCTGTTTAGGTTGTTGGCTAGCATTGCTTTCTGTGGGAGGGAGTTCCACGTTTAACTATGTGCTGCATGGAAAAGTACTTTCTTTTACAGTGGTACCTCGGGTTAAGAACTTAATGGGTTAGTGACGTCTGTAACCTGAAGCGTCTGTAACCCGAGGTACCACAGTATTTCTCCTGAATCTTCCAACATTGAGCTGCATTGAGTTCTAGTGTTATGAAAGAGGAAGAAACACTTTATCCATTTTTCTCCATAGAATCACAGTATTGTAGAGTTGGAAGGGACCCCAAGGTTCATCTAGTCCACCCCCTGCAATGCAGGAATCTCAACTAAAGTATCCCTGACAGATGGCCAGCCAACCTCTGCTTAAAAACCACCAATGAAAGAGAGTCTACAACCTCTTAAGGTGTCCTCCCAGTTTGGTGTCATCTGTAAATTTGATGAGCATTCCCTCAATTCCTTCATCCAAGTCATTTATAAAGACGTTGAACAACAACAGGCCCAGGACACAACCCTGCGGCACCCCCCCCCTGTCACTTTTCCCCAGGGTGACGAGGAACCATTAATGAGCACTTTGGTTTCAGTCAGTCAACCAGCCACAAATCCACCTAACAGCTCTTTCAACCCACATTTTACTGGCTTCTCTGCAAGAATATAATGGGGAACTTTGTCAAAAACCTAAGATACACTACATGCACAGCATTCCCCTGATCTACCAAACTTGTAACTATCAAAAAAATAGATTTTGACATGACTTGTTTTTGAGAAACTCATAGTACTCACACCATCCTTCTCCAAGTGCTCACAGGCTGACTGTTGAATGATCTGTTCTAGGATCTTTCTATTGAATGGATTTTATAGGCAATAAAGGATATATTTTACAATTTATCCTCCATATTACTCACATTTGTGAGCAGAAAGTTTAATCAGTTTTGCATTTAGAAGTCATACACTTAGTTAGCAGAGTTTAAAACACCATCCCTTGCAGCATTAAAGTGGAATATTTGGGACTAGGCTGTGTAACCTTATTTTTATTTATCCAGGCTGTGGCAACAGCCTTTATTTTTCCATGTTCCTTCTTAATAAAAGAATTACACAACAGACAGTAAATTAAGCATTAAAATAGTATTTATTCACATAAAGTATTGCACTCAGTTCCAGCAGTCAGTAACAGAAGCAAGGCAGGCAAATTCTACTTATAGATTACAAAATGCATAGTTTAGTTCAAGAATGGAGTCTCTGCTGGAGCCAAGACCAGACAGATATCCATCTGTCTCAGAAGTGTTTTGGCAAAGGGAATGAGTTGTGAGGCAGGAGAAAGTAGAAAGGATTACACCCTCCCCCTCCCATCTGCCATAAAACCCAAGGGAAGGGGAGTCACACAGTGCCTACTCTAGCAATCATGAATTCTGTGAGTCTTAACTCCTTCATAGCCTTATTTAGCAAACATGCATTTGTTATTTTGACTGCAAATTCCCACTCTTCCCTGACATCAACATCAACCTGACCAGTCTGTAGTTACCTGGGTCTTCTATCTTCCCCTTTCTTGAAGATGGGGACAATATCTGCCCAGCTCCCGTCTGCAGGGACATCACCTGTTCTCCAAGAATTCTCAGATTATAGACAGAGGCTTGATGCTGTGAATAATTTTATAAACTCCTATCATGTCACCCCTGTCACTCACCTTTTATCTAAACTAAAAAGTCCCGAAAGGTTCAACCTTTCTCCATAGGGGAGTCTCCCCATCCTCTTGAACATTTCGGTTGCCCTTTTCTGAACCCTTTCCAACTCTACAACATCCTTTTTGAGTTGAGGCAACCAGAACTGTACACAGTACTGCAAACGTGGCTGCACCGTAGATTTGTATAATGGCATTATGATATTGGCTGTTTTATTTTCAGTTCTTTCCCTAATACTCCCTCGCATGGAATTTGCCTTTTTCATGGCTAATGCACGCTGGACCGACATCTTCATCAACTCTACTAGGATGCCAAGGTCTCTCTCCTGGTCCATCACTTGCAGTTCAGAGCCCAGGAGGGTGGACATCACTATGTAATATGTAGCATGCATTCTACAGTGGTACCTTGGTTCTCAAACTTAATCCGTTCCAGGAGTCCGTTCAACTCCCGAAACCATTCAAAAACCAAGGCGCAGCTTCAGATTGGCTGCAGGAGCTTTTTGCACTCAAGGAGAAGCCACGTCGGACATTCGGCTTCCAAAAAACGTTCACAAACCAGAACATTTACTTCTGGGATTGTGGTGTTCGGGAGCCGATTTGTTCGGCGACTAAGCTGTTCGGTAACCAAGGTTTGACTGTACATAGAACTGCATTTGCCCTTTCCCATTCACTCAGTTTGCAGAGGTCCTTTTATAGCGCTTCGCAACCTCTTTTTGTTTGAGGAACCCTGAAGAATCTAGTGTCATCAGCACATGCAGTGTGAGCCTGAGAGTAACCACTCCTGGTGCTGCGGGCGCTGGGCTGACGTGCAGGATGGTGCCTGCATCTTCAGAGCAAGAAGACGCATGGGGGGGGGGCTGGGACTTGGGCATGACGGACTCACTCTAGGCTGGCGGGGGGGGGGGAGGCCTTGGAGCAGGTCCTGCCAATCTGGCCCTGGCATATCCAGCCCTCAGAGGAACTGTAATGTGATGTAATCTAAACCACTGAGAAGAACGCTGCAGGCCCCTCACCTTACAAGGATGGATGGCTGCCAGTCCCATAATTCATCACACTTTTCCTCACAGCACCCGGGGGGCATTTTTACATTGCCCTGTTTTTAATTTTGCTTTGATCCTGCAAATCCAGGGCCCTCTGCACTGCCAAAGCCTTGCTAAAAGTAAAGATGGCTTTATGGTACAGTCAAATCTGGTCCATAGCTGAAAGATGAACTCAAAAACTAAGCTGTACTAGAGGGTGAACAAAGAATATTCACTTCCGACTATTTGGCAAACATTTATTCTATCTACAAATGGTGATGACAATGTTCAAAAGACCCCTGTGAAAAAGATGACTATTTGGATTTCTCTGTGACATTTCAGCTTTAAGTGAGAATGGCACAAGACCCTGAGGACAGTAGCCTGATGTTTATTGATGAAACAAATCTTTTTAAAAAGGTTACTACCCTGCAACTCCAATACTACTACTGCTGCTGCTGCTTTTTCCCTGTGCTTTAAGACGGCTGGCGGTGGCTGCTGATGTGCTTCTGTCTTCTCCGTTCTGTTCCTGAGTCTGTTCTGCGCCCTCCCGCTTTATGCCACTTTTCTACAACTGAAAAAAGCCGAAGGATCTGAATGTGGGAATGCTGGGGGCGGCAGGAGAGGATATATTGATTATTAATATCCTTCCTAACTTGCACTAGCAAGCGTCTTCACTTAGCAGAGTGCAAACTTGTGTGAATTTCTCAAGACAATAAGACAGTTTGGCTTGTACAGATTGAGATATGTTCTAATATTCCTGATAAGAGCCCTTTGAATCCCTCCTAAAAGAACAAAGACAACACAATCTTATTCATAAGTAACAAAAAGTAGTTTTGCTTACAATCAGGCAGAGCACAGTGTGATCCCTGAAGGCAGGCCCTAAGGCTTAAAGTTACAAACATGTACAAACAGGTTTACATCCATGTGCTTACCAGGAAGTACACTCAGAAAAATACTCTTCAGCTTAGGATCTCAATCCTTTGCAATCCTTCAAAAATACTCAAAAATACGCTACACTGGGGCTCATAACCCTTTGTGGGAATGTTGAGGGTGGCAGGAGAGGAGATATTGATTATTGATATCCTTCCTAACTTGCACTAGCAAGTTTCTTCACTTAAGGTAAAGGTAAAGGTAAAGGGACCCCTGACCATTAGGTCCAGTCGTGACCGACTCTGGGGTTGCGGCACTCATCTCGCTTTATTGGCTGAGGGAGCCGGCGTACAGCTTCCAGGTCACGTGGCCAGCATGACTAAGCCACCTCTGGCAAACCAGAGCAGCACACGGAAACGCCGTTTACCTTCCCGCCGGAGCTGTACCTATTTATCTACTTGCACTGGTGTACTTTCAAACTGCTAGGTGAGCAGGAGCAGGGACCGAGCAACGGGAGCTCACCCCGTCACGAGGATTCGAACCGCCAACCTTCTGATTGGCAAGTCCTAGACTCTGTGGTTTAACCCACAGAGCCACCAGCGTCCCTAGTTTCTTCACTTAGCAGAGTGTGTTTCCCTTCTCCGACTGCAGACCTTCCTGGGCAGACACAGAGTCACCTGAGGGCTCTCATGCCCAGATGCTCAGATGCAGGGAGTTCATGCGCAACCCCTTAATGGTCGAGACGGTGAGGAAGTCCAGATCCCACACAAGTCCCAGCAAGGAAGAGGCGGCGTGGGTGGTCCTGCACCCAGCAGAGCATCAGCACCCACCGAGACAGGGGCACCCCGGTACCCCCCTTGCTCTGGTGCAGGCACCCTTGGAACCCAGCTGGCTGCTGTGGCAATAAACAAGGCTTCTGTCGCCATGGCAATGCTCCCTCCCTCCCTCCCACCCTGCGGCCAATGGGATGAGGGTTCCCTGGCTGCAGCTGGCCTGGTCTGGCCTGCCCTGTGAGAAGCCCAGCCGAGGTAGGAGACCTGCAAAGCCCGGCACCAAGCGGCAGTCCTGCTCCCCCCCAACCCAGCTCCTCCCGCTACGGAATGACCAGTCTGTCTTGACGCACCCTGTGCCCACCCCCCGGCACAGGGTCATCTTTGGGGTGGCCTTTCACAGCCCTTGTGTTTGTTTAGCAGGGCTTAGCATGACTCAGTCCCCATGAGGTCGGCTTCCTCCGCTACAGACCCTCCGTAGGGCAGAGAGGGCCCTTCTGGGTGGGTGTGGCCCAGGAGTGGCCTTCTCTGTGGTGGCTCCTAATCTGTGGCACTCCCTCCCCAGAGAGGTGTGTCTGGCACCTTCATTACAAGACACACCTCCTTACCTTGCCCTCTGCCCCTTGTTGGGTCATTTCCACAAATTTAGGTCATTTTAATATTGTGTCTCAGACTTGGGGCCTTAGGCTGAATTGTGGGTAAATAATATTCATAATCGCAATAGGCAGTGTGGTGTAGTGGTTAGTGCTTGACCAGGACCTGAGAGAGCAAGATTCAAATCCTCACTCAGCCTTGTAGCTCCCTGGGTAACCTTGGGCCAGACACTCAGTCTCAGCCTGTCCTACCTCACAGGGTTGCTGTGGATAAAAGAGAGATGAGGAGAAGCATGTCCACCACCTTGAGGAAAGGTGGGGTATAAATGAAATAGATTAAATAAATGAAATAAGAAGAGTTCAGTGGCAGAGCGCATCCTGTGTTAAACGATGGAACTCCCTCCAGCGATGACCACGAACTTAGATGTCTTTGAAGGAGGATTAGGCAAAACCGTAGAGGACAGCAGGGTATCAGTGGCTACTAGCCAGGAGGGCAACGCTCTGCTCCTGAGGTTTTCAACCTTTCTGAGTCCACGGCTCACTTGACCAACTACATTTTTCCCTGTGGCTCCCCTGTGGGGCTCAGGAGCCCAGTTAGGTCCCCCTTTGCCTGCAGAGCTGGCAGCCTCTCCCCCTTTTCCAAACACCCTCCCTTGTGGAGTATTCCCTCAGCCTCCTCTCCCCCCTCCTTGGGAGTCCTCTGGGCAGCCACTGCTGCCGCCCCTGGTCTCTGAACTGCCCCCCTGCCCCAAAGAGAGGGGCCTCCTCACACTGCCCCACAGGGGCCTGGGAAGAGGATGTCCCCAGCCTTAGTGGTCCAACAGAGACTGGCCAAAGGTGAAGGTGAGGCCAACGCCTTGCCTTGGGTGGCAGCAGCGGGCACTGCCAGGCCTGCATGGCGGAAAGGCTCCCCTTCAGCACCGGGCACTCAGCTCCCAGGCAAGCCTTGCACACAGCAAGCCCAGGAAAGGCCAGCTTGGCCCTTGTCTGCCTGCCTGGCCTCCCACTTGTTTCTCCATTCCCAACAGCAAGGGCTGGCAGGCTGGCTGGGCTCCCTCGCCCGCTTGCTTGCTTACTCTGATGCTGCCTCAGCAACCAGCACCCCCTGACCGCCCCAGAGGCACCATTCGCCTGTGGGGCTTAGAGCCAGGGCTGCTGCAATAAACAGCTGTGCAAACCTTGGGGAGGCAGAGACGCAAGAGGGCATCAGGAGAGGGAGGGAACAAAAGAGGGGCAGAGGCCAGGGTTGCCCATAGGACCCTTGACCACCATTCAGGGCACCCCAGGGTGCCACGGCACACTGGTTGAAAACCACTGCTCCATGCAGTTGGAGACAGCCGTTCTCCTGGAAACCACAGGAGGAGAGCGCTGCTTGCCAGCTTCCCATTGGGCAGCCACTGAAAGAACAAGGTGCTGGACTGGAAGGGGCTACTGGCCTGATCCTGCAGGCTCTTCTTATGTTCTGATCCTGCTGTGTATGCAGAAGGTCCCAGGGTTGGACCTCAGCACCTCCAGCTAAAATGGCCTTCCGTACTGAGGCTGGGAAAGACCACTGAGCCTCCTGCTGCCATGAGAGAGCAAGGAGGGCTGCTTCCAGTCAGAGCCGAGGAGGCCCAGCTAAGTGGCCAAGGGTTGGGCTCCAGGCAAGGTCTCCCCTCCCTGTGCTCAAACATCCAGGCTGTGTCCCTCTGGGCGTGAGATGCCTGGGTTGATTCCGTCTTTCCCTGCCTTTTTTGGCCAGTCTCCAGCTGCTGCTGCTCCTTCCTTCCTGTTTGGTCTCCAGCACCGTTGCTTAGTGACGTACAATGCCACCCCCCTTCCCTTCCCTTCCTGGGAGTCCAGGTCAGCCCAGCGCCTGCACTGCTCTCACTGGCCCTGTTTGCATCCCAGAACAGCCAACATGGAAGAGGAGCCCATTGAAGATGTGCCCATGGGGCCCTCGGAGGAAGAGCAAGAGCAGGGGGGTCAGAGGACCTCCTCCACTGCCCTGGAGGTGGAAGAGGAGATCATCCTGCCTGCTTCCACTTCCTTAGATGATGAAGACGAGGAAACCATCTTGCCCGTGTCCACATCCCTGGAAGGGGAAGATGGTGGCAAGGAGACGTCGCTCCCGCCTTCGGAGTGGGAGACCTCCGAGTCGCTGGTCCCGCAGGAGCAGAGCCCCAGCAATGACGGGTCTTCTTCCCAGCCTCTGGAGAGCTCTGAGCCCTCTTCTTCCTTGGCTTCCTCACCTTCCTCGTCGCCCGTTTCCTGGAGGAGGCAGAAGGACAACCAGCTGCAACCCCTGGAGGAGGTGGAGGACACTGAGGAGACAACGGCGGAGCTCAGCAGCATCCTTCCCCAGAGGAGCCTGGAGAAGAAGGCCAAGAAGAAGGGCGCCATGGTCAAGAAGGGAGCTCTGAGTAGGTGACGCGGGATCTGACCCACAGGGGAGGGGACTTCTTGGGGAGGACTTTGGGTTGGCTGTGCCCGGGAGGAGGGGGTGAAGGTTCTAGGGGAGCAACATGTGGCACCTGGAAGCTCTGCAGGACAGGGAGTCACAGCATCATAGAACTGGAGAATGGGAAGGGCTCCCCAAAGGGCATCTAGTCCAATCCCCTGCAATGAAGAAATCTCAGTTGGATCATACATGACAGATGGTCACCCAGTCTCTGCTTAGCGCTTAAAAACCTCCAAGGAAAGGAAGTCCACCACCTCCTCAGGGAGACCAATCCACTGTTGAACAGTTCTTACTGCCAGAATTCTACTGTGTTACCATCTTCCTTAAAGGACGCGGGTGGCGCTGTGGGTTAAACCACAGAGCCTAGGACTTGCCGATTAGAAGGCTGTCACTTCGAATCCCCACGACGGGGTGAGCTCCCATTGCTTGGTCCCTGCTCCTGCCAACCTAGCAGTTCCAAAGCACGTCAAAGTGCAAGTAGATAAATAGGTACCACTCCAGCGGGAAGGTAAACAGCATTTCCGTGTGCTGCTCTGGTTCACCAGAAGCGGCTTAGTCATGCTGGCCACCTGACCCGGAAGCTGTACGCCGGCTCCCTCGGCCAATAAAGCAAGATGAGCGCTGCAACCCCAGAGTCGGCCACGACTGGACCTAATGGTCAGGGGTCCCTTGACCTTTAGGAGCACAATAGCCAGAGAGTTGGATGGAGAGCTGAGCTGGAAGCAGGAGACCCAGAGACCTGCTTGCTCTGTGCTGGGTATCCAAAGCCGCGACTGTTTGGGGTTGATGCTGTGAGCCCCTCCAGGAGTGAGTTTGTGGAACCAAAGCAGCAGGGCCCCCCAAAAGGTTTGGGAACCACTGATTTAAATCATTCCTATTTAGCCTTTCTGTGCTGAAGTGAACTGAGCAGATCACGAAGCACCAACTCTTGTTGGACTGGGCTTATGAGTTTATGAGTAAATAGCTACCAGTCCCTCGGAAGCCATTCCTCTCCTAATCCCGCTGGGCCGCATCCTGTCTCTCTTGCCAGACTACACAGCGAGGCCTGTGGTGCCAGCTGAGAAGGCAGAGCTGATATCGGTGGCCAAAGCGATGCACCGGGAGAACTTTGGCAAGAACGTCAAGGAGCTCTTCCATCTGGAGAAGGAGGCAGCCCTGAAGTCCATCGAGACAGGTGGGCGGAGCCTGCAGGCCAGGCAGATGCTCCAACCTGTAACGTGTGCGTGAGTATGCACAGGCACATGTGCAAAGTTCTGCTTTTAGGCAAACAAAACCCAAGGCCCGCATGCAGGAGGGGACCCCCTGCCTTGGCACATGTGGAAAGCATCTCGGCATCAATGCCAATTGCAAACTGAACATGAGGGAGCAGGTTGGGACACGGGTGGTGCTGGGGTCTAAACTACTGAGCCTCTTGGGCTTGCCAGTCAGAAGGTCGGCGGTTCGAATCCCCACGACAAGAAGAGCTCACGTCCCTCCATATCAGCTTCTGCCAACCTAGCAATTCAAAAGCACACCAGTGCAAGTAGGTAAATAGGTACCGCTCCGGCGGGAAGGTAAACAGCATTTCCATGCACTCTGGCTTCCGTCATGGTGTCAGAAGCAGTTTAGTCCCACTGGCCACACGACCCAGAAAACTGTCTGTGGACAAACGCTGGCTCCCTTGGCCTGAAAAGCAAGATGAGCGCTGCAACGCCATAGTCACTTTTGACTGGACTTAACCATCCAGGGGTCCTTTACCTTTTGCCTTTATGAGGCAGCAGTGGGACACAGCTGCAAAAAAGGCTAGTGCAGTCTCAGGCTGCATTCATAGAACCGTAAATCTCCAGATCAGGAGAAGAATTAGTTCCATTTTATTCTGAGCTAGTCAGGCCTCACCTGAAGTCCTCTGGGCGGTTCTGGAACAGCTTCAGAGGTTGAGGGCTCCAGGGGAATGGAGAGCTAGTCCTGTGCGGACAGGTCAGAGGAACTGGGTGTGCTGAGCCTGGAGAAGAGAAAATGAGGGGTGGGGGACAGGAGAGTCTTTCTCTTCCTCCTCCTCCTCTTCTTCTCCTTCTCCTTCTCCTTCTCCTTCTCCTTCTCCTCCTCCTCCTGCTGCTTCTCCCAAGGCCTGATGGGATTTCACAGCACAGAAGGGGCTGCTGTGGCTGGTTCTTTGCTGCCTGCGAGGGCAAATGAGGCAACCATTTGCCAGTGGAGCCAGCGGGCTTTCCCATCACGGGAGTTCCTTGAGCAGAGGCTAAATGCCCACCTGCTGGCGATTCCCACAAGATCCCCTTCGTCCTGACTCCATGAGTCCCTCTTGCTGCTCAAGGATGAGCTAGGACAACAGACGGCCTCCCCAAACTCCGCCTCTGAGGGTTTCTGGCGGGACCATTTCTGCCATTGGGTGTACTGGAAGCCCAGCATTTGGGGGCTGAAGAACCCTCTTTTCTCTCTCCCCAGGTAAGACATGAGAGGACCGTAGATGCCAGCTACGCTGTGCCAGGAGGCAGCCCCCATGAGGAGATGTCAGGCCCTCCCCCACAGTGTTTCTGCCACCCCCAAACCATACTGGCCGTGGAGGTAATCCCCATTCGCAGCAGTGGGGTTATGAACAGGGGAAGCGGCTGGATCCTGGTCCCATCTGTTGGCCCACCTGACACAGCATGATCCGCTGTGGCTCTCCGGGGTCTTGGGCAGAGAGAGAGGGGCTTTCCCCAGCCTCCCACCCCAAATCCAGTGAGCTGTGCTCTGGCCCTGAGCTATGGACCTTCCCTTCAAAGCTTCCTCAGACAAGCACCCCCCCCACGCCCAAAGTCTGTTTGAGTGTAGAAGGAAGGGCACAGCTTGGCATGGGATGCCACTCTGTCTCCTGGCCCAGAAGCTGTTTGGCAGCCTGAACGGCGGCAGCAGCAGCCCTTGCCCTCTCCCACGGGGTCAGGATTATGCCAAAGAGGCATTTGGGCTCTCTAGAGGAAGGTTGCAGGAGTAGATGGGGCCTTTTCTTACAATATGCCTTTAAAGCACATTCAGAGAGCAACTGTAGTTTACCCTTCAGCCGCTGCAGTCCTTCCCACAGGGGTTAGGCTCAGCCTGGTAGAGGCAGCGCCTGGTGGTCTGGAGGGGCCAGGCCCAGAGCCCAGATATCAGGGAAGGAGTGGGGGGAAAGCTCCTCACCTGTGCCAGTTTGGCCCAGGCAGTGGGTGGGCTCAGCTCCCCTGCCTCCCGTCTGCCTGAAAAGCCGCCTCTCCCACAGGCCTCTATATCGGCTGGCGCTGCCCTGAGTACCTGTGGGACTGTTTCCGCGTGGGCGACGAGTCCAAGTGTTTCTGCGGGCATCTGCTGAAGCAGCACCAGGTCTATGTAGGTAAGTCATGGGGGGGGAGGTAAGGAGCTGGCAGTCAAGTCGTTGGTCCTGTCTGAGAGAGGGAACTGCGGGCATCGGAAGCAAGGGCAATTCTGAGCCCTGCAGTAGAAGTGGCGGGGCCCCCCCATTGGTTTGGCCACAGCCCTTGATGTGCAGGTCTCCTGCTTCCATCTATGGAGGTTCCACTTAGCTCTCATGGCAGTTCCTGCTTGATGTGCCCTCTGCCAATGTGCCCAATGCTAATGATGGCACTCAGGTGACAAATGCAGTCATCATCTCACAAAGAAACGCTCCATGGCTCGTTCAGTCATGAAATCCTCCAGGAGTTTTCAATTCTTGGATCCCCAGAATCAGCGGCGGAGGAAGCTGCCCAGGCACCTGGGGTGGGGCGCCCAGGGGTGGGGCGAGCCCCCCCATAGGAGTGGGGGCACACTGCGGGGCCTCTGGAGTCTGCCTGCATCCTCCCACTCAGCTGCCCTACAGCTGGGGGGGGGGAGGCGGCAGGCAGACCGTTTGGGCAGTGCAGAGTGGTGGCTTGGGCGCGCTGTGGGCTCCATGGTGAGTGCCACCCGGCATTTTGTCACCCCCCCTCAGTAGTGACACCTGGGGCGGACCGCCCCCCTGCCCCCTTCCTTCGCCCCTGCCCAGAATGAGAAGGGACTGGGGACGCCATGCAGACTGACCCCACCCCCAAACTCACAACTGTGCATAGCTGTCAACGTTTCCTTTTTTTAAGGGAAATTCCCTTATTCCGAATAGGATTCCTCGTAAGAAAAGGGAAAAGTTGACAGCTATGTAACTGTGCCGCGTTTCATCTACAGTGTAGAAAGCTGGCACACCTAGGGTACGCCCGGGGCAGGCTCTGCTGCGGCAAATCTTGCAAAGTGATGGCACAGGAGATATGGGGCACGTTCAGCTCCACAGGGTGGGACACCTGTCTCTTGCCACAACTCGTCTCTGAGCGGCTCCTGCCTTTGCTTTCAGTTCCCCCCAAGGACTTCCCCAGCCCCTCCTTGGGCTCCTTCAGCCCCCGCAGCTCCTCCTGACCAGCTCACTGCTGCTCCTTTCTCCAGACAGGCGGGCGACCGTGTCCTGTACCCTGCAGGGGTGCAAATGCCAAGCCTTCATGTTCATCCCCTCCCGCCCAGAGGAGGTGGGCGAATTCTGGCTGCGGAGAAGAACCGGCTTCGACCCAGCGGCCTGGCGGGCCAAATGCCGCTGCAAGCACACCCACGAGGAGCACACGCCCAATGGAGCCCGGGGCTGCGGTGCCCGAGGTGGGTGGGGGTGGGGTCCCCCTCCCCACTCGTGTCCCTGGGGTGCAAGGAAGGGCAGAGGGTGCCAGGCATGAAGGCCTGCCCACTGCAGTGGGTTGGACAAGATGACCCTGGGGGCCCCTTCCAGTTCTACAGTTCTGTGATTCAGGTAGTGGGGGGGATGAGCCGTTTTGTGAGGTGGGGCAAGTGGGTTCCACCACGCCAGTGAATCTTCATTTTTCTCTGTGCCTAAGCCCATATCCTTGAGGGTCTCTTGGCTGCTCCTGTAAGAAATAGGATTTCAGGAGAATCAGAACCTGAATGTCCATTTGTTCCCATTCAGATTTAAAGAGCAGTTTTCACAGAGAAAGGGCTGGGGCAAAAGGAAAAGGGCACTCAGACACAGTACTTTAAATTGTAGACGTGTGCCTAGAAAGTGTGGGGCAAAAGCTTAGTGTGAGCCCTCTGGTTTTACGGAAATCACTTGTCGCCCTACACTCTGAACAGCCCTTGTTCTTGCTGTGGGGGACACAGTTTATAAACCCTTGAAATAACCCCCTCCCAAGGGGCCTCTTTGGGGTCTTCCCATGAGCCCCAGGAGAGTTGAGAGGGGCACGCAGCCCGGCCTCACATGGTGTCCTGCCCCCACCCCAGACAGGACTCCAGACCCTCCAAGTCTCCCTATTTTCCAGGGACATCCCTGACTTACAGAAGCCGTCCCGGTTTCTGATTTGATCGTGGAACGTCCCACTTTCCCTTAGGATGTCCCTATTTTGATTGGAGAAATGTTGGAGGGCATGGAGTTATGTGACCCTGAGCCGCTGGAAGGCATTTTAAAAATGCTTAATGTTTTTATATATGTTGGAAGCTGCCTAGAGTGGCTGGGGAAACCCAGTAAGATGTGTGGGGTTTAAAGAGTAAAATTATCGTGATGGAATGGGATTGTCCCTATTTTCATTGGAGAAATGTTGGAGGGTATGGGACCCGAGGAGGGCCAGTTCACACATTTCAGCCTGCTAGCCCTCTCTGTATTAGAGACCCAGCAGATCCTCCCATGCCTGGAAATGGGTGGTCCAAGTGGGCCTCTTCCCCCACTTTCTTCACAACAACCCTGCCAGGTTGGTTCCTGCCTTGTTTGAAGCTGCTTAAGGTGATATTCAGGGCTGTGTGGGACCCTCTCCCTGTGCCAGAGAAGCCCCCCCACCCCAGACTGGCATCCCACCCCCCAAGCACTGATGCCCCCCTCTCTTTCCGTCCTCTAGGCTGCTCCTGCCCGGCTTTCACCTCCAACTTCCTGTGCGCTGCCTGCGACCGGCGCTGGGAGGAGCATGAGACTTTCTTTGAGTCGGAGGAGACGCGGCGGAAGGGGGGCCGGCCGTGCGGTACGGGCAGGAGGGGAGCAAGGGAGGGGGCACTGTGGGGGCCGCATTTCCCCCAGCCTATCCTTCTAGTGCCCACAACTGAAGCTAGTCAGTTTCCCATCCTTCCACCCCAATTCCATGGGGCTCTGCTCCAGCGGAAGCTCATGAAGCACCGAGGGCAGCCCCACAGAGAGCGCATTGCAGTAGCCTGGCCTTGAGGTTGCAAAGGCAAAGATCAGGGGTCAGTAGACTTTTTCAGCAGGGTTCCGGTCCACTGTCCCCCAGATTTTTGTCGGGGGCTGGACTATATTTTGAATGAATTCCTATGCCCCACAAATAACCCAGAGATGCATTTTAAATAAAACGACACATTCTACACATGTAAAAACACGCTGATTCCTGGACCGTCCGCGGGCCAGATTTAGAAGGTGGTGGGGCTGAATCTGGCCCCTGGGACTTAGTTTGCCTACCCATGGCATAGATTAACACACTCTGCCGCTCTCTTTCCTTGGATATGTTACTCCAGTAAGCCAAGCCAGACCTCTGTGCTCTGAATTTACCTTCTGAAATTGTGGAGGTCACCCTAACTTTTCACAAAACTGCTGCCAGCCTTGCCATGGTGCCTCTGAACTCTGCGTATTAGCTTGGATTCTTGCATTGCAGGGGGCTGGGCTGGATGACCCTTTGGGGTCCCAATTCTATGAACAAAGTAGCATCCTCATTTTCATCCCTGCAGTTACCCTCATGTTCAAATTCAGATTCTACAACCATCTGGGAATTTTTCCACTCAATATTCTGGTTTCACAGCCTCCCCGATCCTTCCTGGAGAGCCAGCCTTTGGGTGCTGTGTCCTCCTGGCTTCCGGGGCCCTTCCTCCTGCCCCTGCCAGGCTCCGTCCCACACCTGCCTCTCTCTCCCCCAGGAGAAGCCTATCTGCCTTTTGCCGAGATGCCCGAACTGCGTGATGCCGTCCTGACGGGGCGCTCCGAGGACACCTCTGCCTACCAAGCCCTGCAGGGCCAGGCCTTCCCGGCCCTGCCTGCCCCCTCTGGCTCACGCGCTCTGCCTCTTCCCCCCTCAGGGCCCCGGAGGATAGTGGAGAAGGACCACAAGAAGGCCTGAGGGTGGCCGGCGGACGGGACCCCCCACAGCGAGAGGCAATAAAGAGAGGCTGCTCTAGCCGGCCGCGTCTGGGTGTCTCTTCCGGGCCCCTGGGGGGTGGGGGGAGGGCTCTGCGGGGAATCTAGGGCCAGAGGGGGCTTTGGGGCAGGAGAGGGGTCAGGATGGGATTCCTCCACGTATGACCAGGATAGTCCTGTTCTCACAGGGGCCAAATTCTCCAAAGAACCTAGGGATCTGGACAGACTGCCCCTGGCCCTGGAAGTTCTGTAGGATCATGAGAAGAGCTTGGCCAAAGCGTCCTGTTCTCACAGCCAGATGCCACAAGGGGAAACCCTCAAGCAGACTGAGCTCAGCTGCAACTCTCCTGTGGCTTCCAGAAACTGGGATTCAGAAGCAGCAACGCCTCCAGCCGCAGAGCACAGCCATTGTGACTAGCAGCCTTCAAGAGCCCTCCACTCCATCAGTTTCCCATTTCCAAGTTGGTGGCCAGCATGGCCTCCTGTGGCTGGGAGTTCCACAGATTAATGATGTCCTGAGGACTTCCTTTGCACAATGAGGTTCCCACAGTAGCTGCCTCGCAGGAAGAATGGGCAGCTTTTTCTGAACCAGCTACCAGCTGGGGCTTCCGTGGCAGCCTTTGAGAGGGGTCAGCTGGCAGGGGGGCTAGGGCAGGGCCCCAAAGAATGAGCCAGGGGGTGCCACCCTCCAGGCCAATGGGTGGGCCCAGTGCCTTTTTTTCTAGAAAATAGCTGAAGTTGTTACAGGAAGGGCTTGTTCTGGCCTGGCCCCAGCCTCCCCATTTGCACTCGCTGACCCTCGGGGTCCGTTCCCATTCTGAGATTCCTCAAAGTCGGATGGCTTCCCTCCTGCCAGTCCTCGTACTACCCGGGGCTCCTGCCCCACTGGCGTTGGTGACTTGGGCGCCTCCAGCGGCTGCTGTGCCCGCCCTGCCCCAACCCTTGTGAGCGCTGCCAGCGATGTGTCCAGCGCACACTCAGCCAGCAGCAGAACTTGCTGCATAGCAGGGGGGAAACATCACTCGCCACACTGCCCATTCTCACATTCCCCAAGGAGGAGTGGGAGGTGTGCTCTGGCCAGTCGGGGGGGGGGCAGTGGCCTGGTCCCAGCAAGGCTTTCCCCATGACACAGCTCCCCATGCGGCTGAGTGTCGGGGGGGGGGCTGCCAGTACTGTGCGCTGCAGAAAAAAAGCACTGGGTGGGCCTTTCCTCCACCTTTTTCACTAGCTGCTACGGATGTGGGTGGCACTGTGGGTTAACCCACAGAGGCTCTCGGGTCTGCTGATCAGAAGGTTGGCAGTTCAAATCCCCGCGACGGGGTGAGCTCCCATTGCTCGGTCCCTGCTCCTGCCAACCTAGCATTTCAAAAGCACGTCAAAGTGCAAGTAGATAAATAGGTACCGCTCTGGCGGGAAGGTAAAGGCATTTCTGTGTGCTGCTCTGGTTCGCCAGAAGCGGCTTAGTCCTGCTGGCCACAGACCCGGAAGCTGTACACAGGCTCCCTCGGCTAATAAAGCGAAATGAGCGCCGCAACCCCAGAGTCGGCCACGACTGGAGCTAATGGTCAGGGGTCCCTTGACCTTTAGGAGCACAATGGCCAGAGAGTTGGATGGAGAGCTGAGCTGGAAGCAGGAGACCCAGAGACCCGCTTGCTCTGTGCTGGGTATCCAAAGCCGCAGCTGTTTGGGGTTGATGCTGTGAGCCCCTCCAGCCTGCGCTCAGGTTGTAGAGCAGTGTAAATGAAACCGGATACCCTAAACAGCACAATGGCAGGACTCTTGAGCAAGAAGTGAACGGATTGCTAATGGACGGATGGACAAGCAGCACGAAATTTGGAGCGCATCTATATGAACTGCAAATCTCCTCGCCCATCAGCGGCGCGTTTCCCGGCGCTCCCTCCGGCCGCTAGGGGGAGTGGGAGGCCCTCCCGCCCGGCCCCTCTAGGCGCCGCCTCCGTGGCCGCTCCTTCCGCCGGGCGCGCCCCGTGGTCCGCGAGCGCGCTCGGCTCTTCGGCTCCCTCCGCCTCCGCCTCCTCCTCCGCCGCCGCGAGTTCGATCCCCGATGGCGGCGGCGGCCGCCTTCCCGCGCGCCCTCTTCCCGGGCTACTTCCAGGCGGGGCCGCCCAGCCGCCGGCGCAGCGCCTCCCGGGCCAGCCCGCTGGTGGCCGGGTGGGGCTGCTACGGGCAGGTGCTGCCCGACCCCGCGGCGCCCGGGCAGGTGAGGGGGCGGGGCTAGGATGGGTGGGGAAGAGGGGGGCCAGGTGAGGGGGCGGGGCCCAGGACAGAGGGGGCGGGGCTAGGAGAGGTGGGGAAGAGGGGGCCAGGTGGGGGCGGGGCCCAGGACAGAGGGGGCGGGGCTAGGAGAGGTGGGGAAGAGGGGGTCAGTTGGGGGGGCGGGGCCCAGGACAGAGGGGGCGGGGCTAGGAGAGGTGGGGAAGAGGGGGGCCAGGTGGGGGGCCAGGGCCCAGGACAGAGGGGGCGGGGCTAGGAGAGGTGGGGAAGAGGGGGGCCAGGTGGGGGGCCAGGGCCCAGGACAGAGGGGGCGGGGCTAGGATAGGTGGGGAAGAGGGGGGCCAGGTGGGGGGCCAGGGCCCAGGACAGAGGGGGCGGGGCTAGGAGAGGTGGGGAAGAGGGGGCCAGGTGGGGGGCGGGGCCGAGGACAGAGGGGGCGGGGCTAGGATAGGTGGGGAAGAGGGGGGCCAGGTGGGGGGCCAGGGCCCAGGACAGAGGGGGCGGGGCTAGGAGAGGTGGGGAAGAGGGGGGCCAGGTGAGGGGGCGGGGCCCAGGACAGAGGGGGCGGGGCTAGGAGAGGTGGGGAAGAGGGGGCCAGGTGAGGGGGCGGGGCCCAGGACAGAGGGGGCGGGGCTAGGATGGGGGAAGAGGGGGCCAGGTGAGGGGGCGGGGCCCAGGACAGAGGGGGCAGGGCTAGGATGGGGGGAAGAGGGGGCCAGGTGAGGGGGCGGGGCCCAGGACAGAGGCTGCCTGGCTGCCGTCAGGGGTGGGCAGCGGGGACCCCCCTCTCGCCGCCAACCCCCCCCTATTTGCCCCACAGGACCCGCCCCGCTTCGTCCCCCGCCGCCTCCCGAAGGGCATCGGGGAGAGATGGACGCCCAGCGAAGCCGCCCCGCTGCCCCTGATGCTGCCCAGTGCTGGTGAGCGTGCCCTCGAGCAGGAGAACCCGCGACCCCAGCAGGGCTGCTGCCAGGGGTGCCAACCTGAATCATATAAGGGGGGTGGGCAGGTGAATAGATCACATGACACGGTGCACGCGCATCATTTGAATGGCAACGCCCATCAGCTTGGGTGGGCATGTTTTATTGGGGGTGGGCAAAACCCCCTGGCCCCTCAGAGTTGGCGCCAATAGATGCCGCTGATCCAAATGTCAGAATAGCCCCATCTGGTCCAGCATCCTGTCCGCACAGCGGGCAATGCCCCAAAGAACTGAGACAGACTGCCTCTAGGCCTGGAGGCTCCCAAAGAGCTGCTGGATCAGGCCAAAGCGGCCGTCCTGTTCTGGGACCCTGTTCTCCCAGAGGCCAAGCTGATGCCAGGGGAAACCAGGGGGCAGAACACAGGCACAACTCTCCCCTCCGGTGGGTTTCCAGCAACTTGTACTGGGAAGCTTTGCTGCCTCTCTGGAGGGAGAGCGGAGCCACTGGGGCCGCCAAGAGCCTCTCCTCCTCCTGGAATTGATCCAGTCCTCTTCTCAAGCCCTCCAGGTTGTGGTCATCTCTGCCTCCGGTGGGAGGGAGTTCCACAGTTTAGCCAGGCTCCTGTGAACTGGCCTTTTGCTTTCTGGGGTGTCAGGCGGAAGCCTCTGCCTGGAGACATTGGGGACCAAAGGCAGGGCTCTCAGCCTGTGCCCAAGAGGTGCCCGCTGTGCCGGTGGCAGACGGACTCTCCTTCTCTCCCAGGTTCCAGGGTGCCCCCCGTGACTCCCCACGACATCCTCTTGCAGGGACTGATGCTGCGCTCCTCGGAAGCCACCAACTCTGGCGCCCAGGCTGCCCTGGGCTTCCCAGATCAGGTAGTCAAGAGGGGGCCACTGGAGGGGGGTGCTGGAGGGCATCTGTGGGGGATGAGACCCCGGGCAAAGGCCCAGCCTGTCCCCTCTCTGCTCCTGCAGCTGGGCGCCTTCTTTGTGGACTATCCGGACGTGGCCTTTGGCACCATGGGGCAGCTCCTCCAGGACAACTTCCACCTGGGAGATGTGCCAGTCCAGGTGAGTGACCCTCCCTTGTCGCTGCCCAGAGAGTTGGGTCCTGCCCCTCTGGTGTGGGGCAGAGCAAAGGGATGCTGGTGGAGGGAGGAGCCTCCTTCAGGCCAGGAGTTTGTTTGTTTGTTTGTTTGTTTCATTGATAGCCCACCTTTCAATACATGGTAATCCCCACAGAACTCTAGCCCAATGGTTGCCATTAATTTGATTTGAACTGATTTTAGAATGAATTGATTTTAGATGCTGTATTATTTTACTGTTGTTAGCCATTCTGAGCCCGGCTTCGGCTGGGGAGGGCGGGATATAAATAAAATATTATTATCATCATCATCATCATCATCATCATCATTATTATTGATTTCCCCCTCCTCTTTTAATCCCCCCAATAATAACCCAGTGAGCTGGGTTGTCCTGGGCCAAGAGGCGCTGACTGGCCTAAGGTTCCTTAGCTTCATGTCCAAATGGGGGATTCGAACCCTGGTCTCTCAGTCTGACACTCTAACCACTAGACTGCAGTGCCATCGTGACTTGAGGCATGCTTGGTTTCCCCGTTCTCTTCCGTTCCCTCCTGGCTGCCCCTCTCTTCTCCTCCGTCGGGGGGGGGGGGGAGAGACTCTTTCTTGGGGCTTCGTCTGACCCTCTTGGCTGCTTCCATCCCCTGCAGAGGAAAAAGCGGCGCAATGTCTGCCGGGTGAGCCGCCTGCTGAAGCACATCGATGCCCCTGATGCCGTGAGGTGAGTGACTCGCCTTGGTCAGGGTGGGGCGCAAAAGCGGGGCAGGCGGGTCTTGGGGCTGGCGCTCTGGGTTAAACCACAGAGCCTAGGGCTTGCCGATCAGAAGGTCGCAATTCGAATCCCTGCGACGAGGTGAGCTCCCATTGCTCAGTCCCTGCTCCTGCCAACCTAGCAGTTCGAAAGCACGTCAAAGTGCAAGTAGATAAATAGGTACCACTCCGGCGGGAAGGTAAACAGCATTTCCATTCACTGCTCTGGTTCCAAGCGGCTTAGTCATGTTGGCCACATGACCTGGAAGCTGTACGCTGGCTCCCTCGGCCAGTAAAGCAAGATGAGCGCCGCAACCCCAGAGTCATCCATGACTGGACCCAATGATCAGGGGTCCCTTTACCTTTTTAGATCAAGACCACCCCCAGAAACATCATACATGCATCACAGAAAAGGCGGTCTAAAACAGAAATTTGAGTCTTGTTTTTCTCCTGTCCTTGTTTATCTCCTGTCTGGCAGGTTACTTGATTGGATTGCCTGGGGAGCCTGGCCAGTCTTTTGTAATGATAAATACTTAGTTCCTGAGCCAGGTCACAGGCTCACCCTATTCAAACACAGACATACCCTAAAGACAGGATTTGTGAAGGAAAAGACAATGGGGAGGCTTTTCCATTTTCCTTTGACCTTGCAGAGAAAGCATTGGGACAGTTGGGAATAAAAAATGGTTCCAGGTCAGTCTTCCTGTGCTGACCTGTGTACGTGCTCGGTTGGCACACTTATGAACATTTAACATATATCTAAGACCTCAAAATTCCTATCCCACCCCACAGCTGCAGCTTCTTTGGGGGCAAGAGCATCATGCGCCTGTGCCGGGACTGGCTCTTTGAGCTGCCCCTGGAGCTGATGGCCGACTGGCTGCACGAGGACCTGGCGGAGCAGTGGAGGCGCCTTTCCTTCGATGAGACCCCAACCGGGGGGGCCTTGGCCTGGCTGCCCAGAGAGGGCAGTGGGGGGCCGTCGTCCAGGGGCTGCCTGGTGTACCCCTCTGGGGAGGCCATGAACCAGCTCTGTATCCTTTTCCGTGGGCAAGAGGCACTTGGTTGCAGCCAGGTGGCGAGGGAGAGCTCTGGGGCTCTGACCTTTCTTATAATAATAAATAATAATAAACTTTTATTTATACCCCGCCCTTCCCAGTTCAAAAACCGGGCTAAGGGCGGCTAACAACAAATTTAAAACACTTAATTATAAAAGCAGCATAAAATATGGTATAAAGACATGAATGACAATAACATTCAAAAATCAATTAGATAATCCCCAGGGCTAGCTGGCTGAATTGGTCCTACTTGGGACAGCGTGGTGGCCAGGGGAGAATCAGCTGTGGGGTCTCAGAGTGAGAGATCTTCATAAAAGGGGAGAAGGAGGGAAGAGAAGGGAAATAAAAGATCAGGCTGAATTCAAATTAAAGGCCAGGCAGAATAGCTCTGTCTTACAGGCCCTGCGGAAGGAAGTTAAATCCTGCAAGGCCCTAGTCTCCTGGGACAGAGCATTCCACCAGGTTGGAGCCATCACTGAGAAGACCCTGGTGGAGGATAGTCTGACTTCCTTAGGGCCCGGGACCTCTAAACTATGGTTATTCATGGGATGTGAGGGCGATCTGGCTGCGACATCTGTCACCCCATTGATTGCCAGGGTTGATTCGGCTGATCTGGCTGGCTGGGCGGGTGTCCCCTTCCTCCCTCACCGCTCCATGTGCGTCCCTCCCAAAGCTGCGCGCTCGGTGGAAGAGGACGACCATCCCAGATAGAAGGAGTGTACCGTTCTTCGGTCGGGGGTATGCGATAGCTGCGCTCCCCTGCTAGAACCTCCAAACAAGCTCAAGGTCCATTTGTAGGAGAACGTAGGGTAGTCAAGCTTCCAAGACTCCAGACACATCCAAGTAAGGCGCTGCATGTGGCAGTTTGCCATTCTTAAAAAATAATAATAAAAAAAAAATAAACTATGGTTATTCATGGACCTTAAGTTCCTCTGCGGGGCAGACCAGGAGAGGCGATCCTGTAAAAACAAGGGCCCTAAGCCACAGAGAGCTTTAAAGGACCAGCACCTTGAACATGACCCTATACTCTTCCGTGAATCTCGCATGTGGGTTTTCTGGGTGGTCTCTCCCCGCCCCACCTGTCTGCCATGTCCCTCCCCCTGCCAGACCTCTCCTTCCTCTCCCTCGAGACCCCCCACCCCCGTACCCCTTCCTTAGCTGCTCCTTCATCAGGCTTCCAAGACGTGGCTCTGAAGCCCACCGCCAGCGGCTCCCTGAGGCCTCGAACCCGCGGCCGCCCTGCCCAGTTTGAGCTCAATGGCCGGGTCCAGCAAGTGGCAGCCGCCCAGGTGGACGGCATTGGTGAGTGAGGCGTCTGCCGGAAATCGCTGCCCTTTCTCCCCCAGTATTATTCGGAGGGTGCTAAGCCTGGTCTCTCTGCTCTGCCTCCCCCATGCACAGACTTTGTTGGGGTGCGCTCAGATTACCACTGCGGCGCATGGAAGATGAAGCCGGGAGGAGCCCCCGCCCTGCTCCAGGTGGCTGGCACAGAGACCCCCTGCTCCTCCATCGCAGTCAGGTAAGAGGGAAGCAACGGGGGCTTGGCCCAAATTTAATTTTTTAAAAAACCTGCCCTTGTGATGTGAAGGCAAAGTCTGTTTGGGTTCAGCCTCCTCGACTCTCTGGCCCCTCTTGTTGCGTTCCAGAGACAAGGAAGGATTGGACCCTGATGAATAAAATACACACGAGGCTTGGCCAGCAAAGCTCTGGAAGTGCGAATAATAATCCGTCACACCCTGGGCCAGGCCCCTTTTATTAACAAAAGAACTTTTAGCACAGCGCTTGTAAGAACCAATCAGATGTCCTCTGAGCATTTCAAAAACCCCACGTGGGACAAAGTCAGATCAGAGAAATCCTTCTAACAACAAAGAAACTACCGTATTTTTCGCTGTATAGGATGCATTTTCCCCCTCCAACAATTAAGGGGAAATGTGTGTGCGTCCTATGGAGCGAATGCAGGCTCCTTGGCTTCCGCGATAGCAACGCGAAGCCTCTGAAGCGCAGAGGGAGCGCTCCCTCCGCACTCCGGAGGCTTCGCGTTGCTTTTGCTGAAGCCTGGAGAGCGAGAGGCGTCGGTGCGCACCAACCCCTCTTGCTCTCCAGGCTTCAGGGATAGCCACCTGAAGCCTGCGGAGTGCAGCGCGAGTTCCCACTGTGCTCCGCAGGCTTCAGGTTCCTTTCGCTGAAGCCAGGAGAACAAGACTCCCGGCTTCAGCAGAGAGGGAGAGCTGCGCAGCGCCCCTTCAGCCAAGCGGCAGGAGAAATGGAAGGGGCTCCGTTTCTCCTGCCGCTTCGCTGAAGGGGCGCTGAGCAGAGAGGGGGAGAATATTTTTTTCTTGTTCTCCCCCTCTAAAACAAGGTGCGTCCTATGGTTCGGGTGCGTCCTATAGAGCGAAAAATACGGTATTTCCTACTTGAGCTTGCATACATAGTTCAGAGTAAATAAAATAGGAATCAAGGAGGAATGCGTTTAGCAAACCCCGGAGGTCATAAACAGCAGTAAACAGGAAAGGAAGGACAGGTAGTATTTACCATCTCCTTGTGAACTCTCTTCCTGGCCCTTAAGATCTATCTAAAGATTAACAAACTACATCAAAGTTACATACTATATTTGTGGCTCTGGATGCCTGGTGAAGCAACCGGTCTGTGTTTCAGAATGCTTATACGTGCTTGTCAGGCATAGAAAATGAACAGTAGAGAAGATGGGCAGAGATGCAGAGGCTTGTGGGATTTCATCAGAAATTATTGTCAATGAATCAAGCCCAGTCAAAGCAATGCTTTCATCGCTGGCACAATGGCGTTCTCCATTTTTCATAATTCCTCTTAGCAATCCCACCTGACCCCCACACCTCTCATCAAAGGGGTCTCTTCAGCTTTCCTGGGGCCGTGAGACTGTTCTGTGTGCCCCACCCCAACCACCCCCCCGACCCAATCTGCATGCCCAACACACGGAATTTATCACCCTTTTATCTAAACAAAGAAGTGCCGCGCTGTGAAATTCGTTAAAAGATCAAACTGTTGGATAGAAAAGAGAGAAGTATTGCCAGCCCATAGAGAATCTCTTGGGGAGGGGCGTCTGGGTGCCACCACAGAGAAGGCCCTGCTGCGCTGCGTCCCAGCCAGCCCCCCAACCTCCCGATGGCAGCAGACTCCCTTTTTATGTGTATTGCTAATGCTAACCATCCCTTAAACGTTCTTTATTACTCGTGGTTAACTGATCTTAATTGATGCTTTTAATATTCCTTAGCAGTTTTATTGCAAGCAAGTCTAGTGGGGTAGAAATCTTGCTACCTGAAGATAGAACGGGGCTTGAGAGGCTGCAGTGGGGCAGGCCTGGGGCTGGAGCCAAGTCTGGGGAGGGGGCCGGGGGTCTCTGCTTCCCCTGCTACGCATGATGCCTCTCCTGTCTCCCTTGCAGCCCCCACCTGCCTGGCGAGCTCTCCTTCTGCACCCACGGAGGATCCCTCTATGTCTGGAATGTGGAGACAGGGTGAGCACTTGGGGGGGCTTATAAGAGCCCCCCTCGCCTTGTATGCAGATGAAGATGGATGGGGGGGGAGAAGACATGCTTGGCCCTGTCTCTGGAGGGGAGGGGGTGCAAAGGGAGGGTTCAAAAGCCCCTGAGGATTACATTTTGGAGTGAGGAAAGGAAAGGAAAGGGAATGAGAAGTTACTTTGGAAACGCTTTCTTCTGATTTCTGCTCCCTTGAAACAGGCAAAACAGAGAATGCTGAAATTCCTTGGGTGACTTTCTCTCCCAATAAACGAAGGGCTGTTTTTAAAAAAAATGTGGAGTTGGAAGGTTCCCCAGGGGTCATCTAGTCCAGCCCCCTCCCCCCCCCCGCGCACAACGCAGGAATGTCAGCTAAAGTCCTGGCAGCTGGCCTATTTGACCCCTGTTGAAAAACCTCCAGGGAAAGAGAGTCAAGTGTTGGAGTCGTCAGCGACTCAACCTTCGTATTTGGGGCTTCAGGTTTGAGTATTGTAGGAACCTGGCTATGTACTGAGATGTCCCGGGGGATGCAGTTGTGGACTTCTGACCTGCAGACTCAGAGGCGTTTGAAAGGGAGACCTTCCCCCAAATGCAACGGGGCGAGGCCCGTGCCGGCAGCCACCCCGGGCCCAGTCCCAGAAGCCAGCCCCTTCTCCTGCCCCCTTCCTGGAAGATTCAGGATGGATAAAAGGAAGTTACCGTATTTTTCACGCCATAAGACGCACCTGACCATAAGATGCACCTAGTTTTTAGAGGGAGAATGCAAGAAAAAAATATTCTTTAAAGGGAGCACTGAGCATAGCATGTATGCATCCCAGGCTCTGCTCAGCGCTCCCTTTCACGAGCCTCACGGAGCGTGTGTGCGGTGCTTGCAGGCTTTTCCCCGAGGAGGGAGAAGGGCAGTCCGGCTGTCCTTCTCCCTCCTCGGGGAAAAGCCCCCAAGGGCCACACACACACTCCGTGCGGCTCTTTAAAGGGAGCGCGGCTCTTGGGGGCTTTTCGGGGCATGGGGGAAGGGACTGAGGGGCTAAGCCAGAAGCTAGAACAGCAAGAGGGAGCGCTTTCCCCTTACTTTTTAGAAGGGAAAAAGTGTGTCTTATAGAGCGAAAAATACGGTATTCATGCAGCACATCATTAGACTGTGGAACTCTCTGCCATAGGAGGCAGAGATGGCCACCAACCGGGATGGCTTTAAAAGAGGATCCTGCTGGTGGGTTTCTCACAAACATCTAGTTGGCCCCTCTGAGAACGGGATGCTGGACTGGCCGGATCCAGCAGGCTCTGAATATCCCCCAGAGCTGTGTTGGGCTGGCACCCTGAGGCTGGCATGGAGTGCAGGTGAGCCATACTCTGCCCCCGCTAGAAGAGCTGAGCCAAGCGCCAGTCCGCCATGCCCTCTCCTTCTTGCCAGGCTCCAGCGGCTGCACCAGGACAGCGAGACCCTCTTCTTCCGGGACCCTTCCCCTTGGCGATGGAGCGAGTTTACTGCCCACCCGCGGGTGCTCAGCTTTGCCGACCGTACCGGCCTGGTGGGGATTGACCAGAGGGTGAGACTCCGGGGGGGGGGAGGCGGGGAGAGGAGATTCTGCAAGGGGGCTCCGCACTTCCTGCTGCTGCTGCCCCACCCAAGGCAGGTTCGGGGGACGAGAGAAGCCTCCAGGGTGGCACCAGGGGACTCTGCTCTCCGGGGCTTAGGCTGCTCCTCTGGTTCCCCCAGGTGTCCTCTCAACATCGCGTGGAGCTCTTCAAGGTGGGGGGCGAGGCAGACTGCCAGCGGGGGGAGCGCGTGGTCCTCGCCAAGTACCTGGGCCAGGCTGAGCCCTACCAGCACCTCGTTGCCACGCAGGTGAGTGCCAGGGCTTTCCTCATTCTCCAGAGACGGGCACAGGGGTCCTCTTGAGACTTCCCAAGCTGGAGGGGGGGGTGTTCATGAACTTGTGTGGAAATCATGCCTGAGGTGGAAATCATGGGGGCAACCAGGGTGGATTTGATTTAAATCAGATCGATTCAAATCACAATTTAAATCACTAGTCAGTAAGATTTGGTTTAAATCACTAGTCTGTAAGACTTGATTTCAATCATTTTTTTTACAGAAAGTCTCCTTCTTATTGGTATAATCTTAATATTTAAAACCAGATGAAGGTTTCCCTTTTGGAATAATAAAATTTCAGAGTAGTTTTTACAGTTATTTCAAAAATTACTGATTTGGTTGTACTATTAGAAATACATAGACAGAGAATTATGAAATTATTGTGAGGATTAATAAGTTAACTCTATATTTGGACAACTTTTCTGCTGTACTTTATTGGAAGGAGAAAAATAACAACAACAACAACAATTGATTATACCTCGACCATCTGGCTGGGTTTCCCCAGCCACTCTGGGCAGCTTCCAACCAAATATTAAAATACAGTAATGCATCAAACATTAAAAGCTTCCCTAAACAGGGCTGCTTTCAGATGTCTTCCCACAGTCTGGTAGTTGGTTTTCTCTTTGACATCTGGTGAGAGGGCATTCCACAGGGCGGGTGCCACTACCGAGAAGGCCCTCTGCCTGGTTCCCTGTAACGGCTTCTCGCAGTGAGGGAATTGCCAGAAGGCCCTTGGAGCTGGACCTCAGTGTCCGGGTAGAACGATGGGGATGGAGACGCTCCTTCAGGTCTACTGGGCCATTTAGGGCTTTGAAGGTCACCACCAACACTTTGGATTGTGCTCAGAAACGTACTGGGAACTTCCGGGTTGGCGCCTCCAGGCAATGGCGGAGTTCCTCCGATCGGGAGGAATTTGCTCCGTGGAAATTAGGGTCTGACCGCCACGGCGAAGGCGGAGACCCACTGAAATCACAGGCGGGAGAAGCCTGTGAACTTGGGATTCGGCTGGCACCCTTTGCGCCTCCCCTACTCGCGGGGAAACCCTGATTTGGGGATCCGGAGCGAAGTGGGGTGAGTGGCGCAGTGCTTCGAATTGACTGCTTCTCTCACGGAGTGAAGCCGCATCGCTGTTGCCGGAGAGCGCTGACTTTTTCCTGTGGACAGTTGGATTTTAAACAACTACCCGTGAGTAGAACGGAAAATTAGATCCTTAAATTCATTAATTTGGCATCGAAACGGGAAGGTTCTAAACAGGAAGTCCGCCTTCCTTTTTTGTAAACAGATTGAAGCAAAGAAGTTGCAAGTTAAAGCCTTGGAAAGTTTATTTTTGTAAAGGATTAAATCTCCATCGGTTAAAACTACTAAACCCCCCTTGGAAGCAGGAGAAGAGGGGGGAAATTTTGGACCTAGTGAGCCTGCAGGAGAGAGTGAAAAACCAAATTACCACTGCTCCAAACCTGGAAACGGGCTGCCAGAAAGAGTGACGTTTTTTGACAGCTAGCAATAAGAGAAATATATTGTTTCCATTGTACTCATCTGCGTTTAAAAAGTAGGAAAAGAAACTACCTTTATAGTTTAAACTGTGTTTGAAAGGATTGATACAAGTGGAGACTGTTTCCCTCTAGAGAGAGCTTTTGAAACAGTTACAAGAGTGGAGCTGGGGTTTTTCCAGTTGCAAGATAAGAACTGTGTGAAATAGAGATCGACCTTGGACTTTAAGAATGTTGACAGAAGGAGCCTTAGTGACTGTATTATGTAAGATAAGCTATTCGTTGGAACAGCTGCACAAGAAGACGGACGCTATGAATACCAAACTTGAGAACTTGGGACAAAAAGTGACTAATTTGGAACAAAAAGTGACTATTAATGCAGAAATTGTTCAGGATTTGACACAGGAACCTACCTTGACAGGACAAACTGGGGAGAAGACGAAGGAGAATGTTGGTGTTGTTAAACCTAAAATAATACAAGTGGAAGCCCCAGTTTTACAGAGGCAAACTGAGGATTATAAGTGGAGGCCTTTTATGAACGAATATAGAAAAAGTCAGAATTTGAAGATTGGAGCCCTGTTTGGATTGAAGAAGGAAGGTTGGATAGACTCTTTCATGCAGAGATTTACTGACCTTTGGGTCCTGAATTTGGGTCAGGAGGTGATTGGAGTTGTGGGGGCCTTTGGATCTGGGGGAGCCTTGAAACATGATTTGAGATATTGTATGGACACTGGTTTTAGCTGTGGAGAGTTGGTTGGTCTGTCGAGAGGGAATGGGGGCATGGTTGGGTCGGGGCCCCCCCAAGACCTGCGCTTCAGCACCCTCAGCATCAAAGAATGTGAAGAAAAACTGCAGAAGGGACTTGGAAAAGATTTAAGAGCCTCGGACAGAAGATCTCCAGGTTGATGAACTATATGGAATGGATGGAAATGACTGGCAGAATCCGAGACCAGGGAGAAGAGATGGTGGTAGAAGATTGGGAAAGTTTAAAGTTTATATATAGAAATATTGTAAATTTAATGAGTGTTAGAAAATTGTTGGAATGAAATTTTATGGCTTTAGCAGAAGTGTTATAAGGAGTTAGGTATAAATAAGTATTTCAGTATTAATGGAAAATAAGGTAAAAAATATGTTAAGATATTCATAATGATAAAAATAGAGAAAGATGGAAAGGAATTGCTGAAACAAGTAATAGAAGTGGAATACAAAAAGGGAGGTGAGAGGAGGTCGATGGAATAAGGGAATGAAAAATAGAGTAATGAAATGGTATGGTATATGTTTTTAAATTGTTGTTCTTTTGCTTTGTTTAGTTTAGTGTGTTAAGGTTGTGTTTTGTATTGTTTATTGTATTGTATTGTTTTTTCTTTTCTTTCTCTTTTATTCTTCTTCTCTGCTCTATCTTGTTTTTTTCTTTTGCCTATTTTCTTCTTTCTTCTTTTCTTGTAAGTTTTAAAAGCAATAAAGATTATTTTTTTTAAAAAAACAGAAATGTACTGGGAGCCAATGTAGGTCTTTCAGGACCGGTGTTATATGGTCTTGGCAGCCTCTCCCATGCCCCAGTCTAGCTGCTGCATTCTGGATTAGTTGTAGCTTTCGGGTCACCTTCAAAGGTAGCCCCACGTAGAGCGCATTGCAGTAGTCCAAGCGAGAGATAACTAGAGCATGCACCACTCTGGCCAGACAGTCCGCGGGCAGGTTAGGGTCTCATCCTGCGTACCAGATGGAGCTGGGAGACAGCTGCCCTGGACACAGAATTGACCTGCGCCTCCATGGACAGCTGTGAGTCCAAAATGACTCCCAGGCTGCACACCTGCTCCTTTAGGGGCACAGTTACTCCATTCAGGACCAGGGAGTCCTCCACACCAGCCCGCCCCCTGTCCCCCAAAACAGTACTTCTGTCTTGTCAGGATTCAGCCTCAAACCCTCGGGTCCCTCCCAGCATTCCAGTTTGAGGAGTCTGTGTGCTGTGAATGTTTCTCTCTCCTTCCGCAGTTCTCGGTGTACGTGCTGGACGAACGCTTCCCCCTGGTGCCCGCCCTCAGCTGGGAGCACATGATGCAGCGGCCGCCCATCTACGGCCTCCTCAGCCCGGCCGTCACTCCGCTGCGCAGTCACAAGCTCCTCCTCGGCTCCCACCACGACCAAGAACTCTTGCTGCTGCAGTACACAGGTGGGGGGGCGAGGCAGGGGCTGGGGGGTGCAGGGAGTGGATCAGAGTACCCCCCCATTGGCATATGCACTTACCGGGGTCTGAGCGGGTGGCGGCTGACCAGAGACCTTGGGGTTGTGGCGGCTAGCACAACAGAGATGCCCAAAAGCCTCTTCTGCCAGGAAGTGGGATGTTGAAAGAAGCAGGAGGATGTTGATGGCTTTAAAAGAGGAGGAGACAAAATTTGGGGCGGGGGGAGGCGGCTCCTGGTGGCTCCTGGCCAGGGGGTCCTGGCGATGCTCCTGTGGTCAGCAATGCTTCTAGATCCCAGTTGATCCAGCGGCCGGGCCGTTACCGCATTTTTTGCTCTATAAGACTCACTTTTTCCCTCCTAAAAAGGAAGGGGATATGTGTGCGTGTCTTATGGAGCAAATGCAGGCTGCACAGCTACTCCAGAAGCCAGAACAGCGAGAGGGAGCGCTGCGCAGTGATCCCTCTTGCAGTTCTAGCTTCTGGCTTAGCCCCTCAGTCCCTTCCCCCGCCTCCCAGAAAAGCCCCCAAGAGCCGCGCGGAGTGTGTGTGTGGCGCTTGGGGGCTTTTCCCCAGGAGGGAGAAGGGCAGCCCGTCAGTGATGGGATGCGTACAGGCTCTGCTCAGCGCTCCCTTTAAAGAATATTTTTTTTCTTGCATTCCCCATCTAAATAAATAGGTGTGTCTTATGGAGCGAAAAATACGGTATGCTCTTGCACTCCTAAGTAGGACACAATGCGGCACCAAAACTATAGAGCCCCCTCTGGCAAGGTCTGCTGGTGCCCCCCAACTTCAGTGATGCAAGATTGGGTGACCCCCCCTTTCGCCTGATTTTGCTGCTCCAGAGCTTTTCTGGTGGGGTGAATCCTTGGGGGTCGCGAGGGGCCGGCTGAGCTGGGAGACGCAGTTGTGGGTTGGGAGACTGATCCACCTCTTTCCACAGGTGGCGCCGACACCCCTTGCCAGCTCTGGGGCCCCCCACGGAAGGTGCCTTCGATCCTCGAGAGCCTGCCCCACTTCCCTGTGCAAGTGCCCATCTGGCAGGAGGCTCTGCGCCAGCGTCTCGCCCTGCCCACTGCAGGTACTTGGGGGGGGGAGGGCTTGAGCCAGACTGGAAGCAGCTTAGACACACGCCCTCCCCCAAGTGGTGAGCAAGGGCAGGTGTGCAGACCAGTCCCTTCAAAATCCGACTGAAAGGAGATCCGTCAGAACGTGGCGGGCACAGGGGCCAAGAGGGGACCATGTCCAGGAAAGTGGTGGGAGGTATTGCTGAAGAGAGAATTAGCAAGTATGTGGAAGAACAAGCTTTGCTTGAAGCAGAAGCAGCATGGCTTTTGCAAGGGGATTTCCTGTTTCATTAGCCGATGAGAATTCTTTTCAGAGCGTCCACAAGCAAGAGGAGAGAGGTGGCCCCACCAGGGTCAAAAGCTTTCAGGGCTTAGGGCAACTGAAAACCACTGCACAGCTCAGGGAATTACTTTTAATTAGCAATCTACCATTCGGCTTTGAAATGTCGGACTAGTGTAAGTTAGCTCTCGAAATGTAGGAGCTGTTTGTTTGTTTTTTAAAAAACATTTTTATTACTTTTCCATTTTTCCCCATTTAAACCTACTTTTGACATCCACTTTATAAATTGCTCATCTGAGCATTGACTTCATGGTTTCCCACTTTATATCTTTACAGCCTAGCATTTATTAGTTTTCCCTTTTCCCTTATTCCTTCTGTTCTCTGATTTTAAGTAATATGAAAAGGGTACATATCATGAACATTACAAGTCTTCTTACAAGCCTACTAGTGTTGTTAATTGCTTACAATGTTCTTTCAAATATAATATAAATTTACTCCAGTCTCTTTGGAAAGCTTGAGCCGGTTGTTTTCGGATCTTCCCGGTCAGTTTTGCCAAATGTGCATAGTCCATCATTTTTGCCTGTCTCTCTCCTAACGTTGGTGTCTCTTGCTGTCCCTCAAACATATACATAGAATACTTAATTAAGCATAGATAATGGGTGAGTAGAAATTTGTAAGAAAAATTAAAAGATCAGTTAACACAGCTGTATGGGGGGGGGCTTCAGAGGTGTGGATCCAACAATATGGGCCTTCAGTTTAGGATTGAATTGTAGCATAGACCATTTTTTGTCGGATATCTATCACGGCAGCACAAAATCGAGCGACTGAATATGTGACTTCTGGGCGCTCCTGACCCCTTGAAATGAGGGGCCGGACTCTCTGGCCGTGCCCTCTTTCCTCCACTAAGTGGGGCCCCCACTGACGGTTCCCTTCCACCCCCAGGCATCGCAGCTGCCCTTGGTAAGCAGGGCCAGAGTCAGACCCTGCTGGTCTTCCAGCTCTCTGAGGCCGGCGATCTCTTCTACCAGCCCTTGCTCCACCAGGAGGAGGACGACGAGGAGGAGGAAGAAGATGGAGACTCCGAGGGGCCACAGTCGGCCCCAGAAGCCCCACAGGAGGAAGAGGATGCCCCCCGAGGCCCTGACGAAGCAGCCAGACCGCGCGAAGGCTGCCCTCTGCCACCTGCCGCGCCCGCAGCACCTATGGCCGCACCCTCCGCTTACCAGCGCTGGATCAGGGCCTTCCGGAAGGCCTGGAAGCGTCTCCCCGAGGCAGCCCAGGGCCGGGCGCGGCTGCCGGCCGTCCTCAGCCAGAGGCGCCTCTTCACTCGCCAGGAGCTGCGGGAGCCGGTCGGGAATCAGGCCCCCTCGAACGGGGAGGCCCGACAGCGCCTGCGCCAGGCCATGCGGGAGAAGCTGGCCGTGTGCCCCCAGGAGCCTGCTGGCAGGGCCCCCTCGCCCCCGGGGCTGGAGCAGGAGGGCCCCCCGGGGGAGCTGGGCCAGCGCCTGGCCGCCTCCTGGGCCGGCGGCTGGGCCGACTGGTGGCAGGAGAAGCTGGGCGCCACCAAGGCGCAGAAGCAGCGGGCGCTGAGGGAGCAGCGGCGGAGGCGCAAGAGGGCGCGGGGCACCCCCAGCCTTTCGGGGAGCTTCACCTCCACCACCAGCTACCAGTCGGACGCCAGCGACTCCTCCTGGTGGGCAGCCAGCAGCCAGACCCCCAGCGAGGCCCCCACCGACTCAGAAAGCCTCTACTCTCTGGCCTCTGCCACCATGAAAGCCCCCAGCCTGGCACCTGAGTCTCGCGTCTCCGTTCCCTGCTCCCCGACTGCTTCCCAGGGCCCCCCGCCCGACTCCCAGGGCCCCCGTGACGCTTCCCAGGGCTCCCCCTCGTCCTCGCAGCTGCTCTCGTCCCAGACCCTCTCCACCCGCGGGATCCCCAAGGAGCGCCGCCAGACCCTCCGCAACTACCTGGCCATCTTTGACGAGCCCGACGAGCCCCCGGCCGAGCTGCCAGCCAGCCAGGCCTCCAGCCGCGGGAGCCAGCGCCCCCTCCCCTCCTCCCAGGGCTCCCAGGGGCCCCGCAAGAGACCCCGCATGGGCTTCTGAGCCCCTCTCCTCCCCGTCAATGGAATAAAGCTGGCTTTCTGCCCAGCTGGGCCTCGTGGCTGTCGGACTTGCGCTACGACCGAGCTCCTCCTCCTCCGGTCGAGTCCTTCGGAATCTCCTCCGACAATGATTAACGACCTGAGCCTTTGATGAGGCTCCAAGCACGTTCCCCCATTAGGCAGAGCATCCAGCACGCAGGGAAGGAGCCGAGACAATATGAGCTACATTGCAAAGAGATTTATTCCTAACTACGCAGACAGAAAAGAAATATACATGCTCTCTCTGTGAAAGCAGAGAACCAACTGAACAGCAAAGGAACAGGAAGCAGTAACATCACATCCGTCTTCCGTGAGACTTCCAACAGCCTGGAATCTCTGGAATGCAAAACAAGAGTCTTGTGACTCCAAGCAACTGCACGGTGGCAACACAAAGAAACCTAATAGTGGCTTCCCACCTCCTCACGGGGGTCTCATCCTGGGGTGGGGGCCTTCCGCCACACACACAGCAGAGTCCTCCTGTCTCCCCACCCCAGTGGGCTGGACCCACAACCTGCCTCATCTGCCCTTTCCTTTTTTTATATACCGTATATACTCGAGTATAAGCCGACCCAAATATAAGCCGAGGCACCTAATTTTACCACAAAAAACTGGGAAAACTTATTGACTCGAGTATAAGCCGGTTCACCACACCAGAGGCTGGTGGCGGAAGTGGCGGAGGAAGGAGCAGCAGCCCGAAAGGACCCTCACTCGAGTATAAGCCGAGGGGGGCTTTTTCAGCATTAAAAATGTGCTGAAATAGTCAGCTTATACTCGAGTATATACGGTATATAATATTTATTGAGTTTCCATTTTATAATATGTAAAAATATCCTTATTTATCACATTATTTTTTGTTCATATGAGCTGGTCAACTCCCCTCCTGCCTCGTGGTTACGGCTTAATTCAGGCTTCCTCAACCTCGGCCCACCAAATGTTTTTGGCCTACAACTCCCATGATCCCTAGCTAGCAGGACCAGTGGTCAGGGATGATGGGAATTGTAGTCTCAAAACATCTGGAGGGCCGAGGTTGAGGAAGCTTGGCTTAATTCTTCACTGTATCATCACATTTGTACCTCTTCCTGTTTACATTTCATCCATTTCGATTATCACGTTTTCAAATAAATATAAAAAGGTATGAATCATCAACATTGCAAGTCTTCTTAAGTCAGTCCTGCTGATGTTGTTAATTCTTTGCAGTTGCCTTTTTGGAAAGCCTGGTCACGGCTGGCTTCGGATTTTGCCAGTCAGCTTCGCCAGTTCTGCACATTCCATCATCTTCACCTGCCCCTCTTCTTTCGTTGGCAATTCCTGTGGCTTCCATTTTTGGGCCAACCAAGTCCTTCCTGCCCAAGTTGAATACAAATGATTTTATACTGAAATGATTTTATAATGTTGTATTATTTTACTGTTGTTAGCCGCTCTGAGCCCGGCTTTGGCCGGGGAGGGCAGGATATAAATAAATTATTTATTATAAATAATTCCTCTGCCCTTTCCAGCCTTTCCTCCGGGGGTTGGACTAGATGACCCTGAGGGTCCCTTGCAGCTGTACAGCTCTCTGCTTCTATGGGCTGCTGCCTCCACCTGGCTCTGCCCCTTACAAAAACCTTTCAGTTATGGGGCCCGGGGGGGAGGGCTGGTCCACTTAGGGGCCCCCAGAGTGCTGCAAAGGGATGCAGGATTTAACACCCCCTTCAAAGCAGGTCTTTTGGGGAGCGGCTCCCACCTTCATTTCCTCCCCAGCAACCTCCCCTTCCCGTGGCTTGGGCTGTGTCATGATGGCGCATAAGGAGAGCTGCCGGATCCGGCCCCAGGGGACCCCCCTTCCCTCTCCTTCCCAGTGGCCCTCATCTACAGATAGACTGCTTCTGGAGCTGGAGGTTCCTTAAGGTAGGAAGAGCCTGCTTGCTGGATCAGGACCGGGGGGGCGGGCAATAAGTCCAGCCTCCTCTTCTCGCTCCGGCCAGCCAGTTGCCCCAAGGAGGGAGCCCTGCAAGGAGGATCCGAGCCCAGGAACAACCCTCTCCCTTCCTGAGGTTTCCAGGAACTGGAATTTGGAAACATTTCTGCCTCTGAAAGAAACGGGAAGTTTTTAGTGTTTGATATTTTATTGCTTTATTATGAATAATAATAATATTCTGTTGGGAGCCTCCCAGCTGGGGAAACCCTGCCAGATGGGTTGGGTATTGACGCGCAGAGTTAATAATGCAGTTTTAAAGAATAAGAGCTTTACTGAGTTAAAATAAACTCCATAAACAACATGGTTCCAAACAGTTTGACTGAGATTACATACTGCTCACAACTGAGGCAGACTGACTCTGACTGAAATCTTACAGAGAACACAGAGAAAATGGCTGCTAAGTATAAATATATTATTATTATTATTATTATTATTATTATTATTATTATTTATTAGACACAGCAGAGCCACAGTGGCTGGTAGCCCTCGGGAACTCTCTCCTCCACGAAATTCACCATTCCTCTCTTAAAGCCATCCAAGGCCCTCACTGCCTCCAGTGCCGGATTTATAAATAAGCTAAACAAACTCTAGCTTAGGGCCCCACTCTCTTTGGGGCCCCAAAAAAATTAATGGAAGAAAACCCCTGGGTGTACATTTCCAAAATATAAGCTAAAAAACAAATAAAACCTGCATACAGCAACCGTATTTTGTGTTGCGTAGGCTCCTATGATGTAAGTCAAGGGCCCCACCTGCTACTCTGCTCCCCAAAATATCCCTGGTTTGCTCCTTTCTATATATAGGAGGCCTCCATTCTGCATGTGCAAATGGCTTGAGATACCTATTAGGTCCATAAATGACAATATAGCATCTATTCAACACAAAAAACAGCGACAATTTGTTGACAAAGGGCAGCTGAACGTATAAAGGGCCCCATGACCTTCAGGAGCTGAGGGCCTCGTGAAACCTCAATCCGGCCCTGCCCTGCCTGCCTCCTGCGCAGGGAGTTCCGCAGGTTAACTCTGCGCCTCCTGCAGAGGCAAACAGTTTGTGAGCACCTAGAAAGGAATGCTGTGATCACCAATAGTCAGCATGGATTTCTGAAAAATAAGTCATGTCAGACTAACCTGATCTCGTTTTTTGACAGAATTACAAGCCTGGTAGATGAAGGGAACGCAGTGGATGTAGCTTACCTTGATTTCAGCAAGGCATCTGACAAGGTGCCCCATGATATTCTTGTCAAGAAGCTGGTAAAATGCGGTCTTGACTATGCTACCACTCAGTGGATTTGTAACTGGCTGACTGACCAAACCCAAAGGGTGCTCATCAATGGTTCCTCTTCATCCTGGAGAAGAGTGACTAGTGGGGTGCCACAGGGTTCTGTCTTGGGCCCGGTCTTATTCAACATCTTTATCAACGACTTGGATGATGGACTCAAGGGCATCCTGATCAAATTTGCAGATGACATCAAATTGGGAGGGGTGGCTAACACCCCAGAGGACAGGATCACACTTCAAAACGACCTTGACAGATTAGAGAACTGGGCCAAAACAAACAAGATGAATTTTAACAGGGAGAAATGTAAAGTATTGCACTTGGGCAAAAAAATGAGAGGCACAAATACAAGATGGGGGACACCTGGCTTGAGAGCAGTACATGTGAAAAGGATCTAGGAGTCTTGGTTGACCACAAACTTGACATGAGCCAACAGTGTGACGCGGCAGCTAAAAAGCCAATGCAATTCTGGGCTGCATCAATAGGAGTATAGCATCTAGATCAAGGGAAGTAATAGTGCCACTGTATTCTGCTCTGGTCAGACCTCACCTGGAGTACTGTGTCCAGTTCTGGGCACCACAGTTCAAGAAGGACACTGACAAACTGGAACGTGTCCAGAGGAGGGCAACCAAAATGGTCAAAGGCCTGGAAACGATGCCTTATGAGGAACGGCTAAGGGAGCTGGGCATGTTTAGCCTGGAGAAGAGGAGGTTAAGGGGTGATATGATAGCCATGTTCAAATATAGAAAAGGATGTCACATAGAGGAGGGAGAAAGGTTGTTTTCTGCTGCTCCAGAGAAGCGGACACGGAGCAATGGATCCAAACTACAAGAAAGAAGATTCCACCTAAACATTAGGAAGAACTTCCTGACAGTAAGAGCTGTTTGACAGTGGAATTTGCTGCCAAGGAGTGTGGTGGAGTCTCCTTCTTTGAAGGTCTTTAAGCAGAGGCTTGACAACCATATGTCAGGAGTGCTCTGATGGTGTTTCCTGCTTGGCAGGGGGTTGGACTCGATGGCCCTTGTGGTCTCTTCCAACTCTATGATTCTAAGAGGTCTCGGGCCAGCGAAGGGTTAAGGACGGGGCGGGAGGACCCAGGCGTCCGAGGGGCGGGGCTCCGGCGGCGGCAGCAGAGCGGGCATGGCGGCGGCGGCGGTGGCGCTGGCGCGGGGGGCGCTCCGACGAGGGCTGCTCGGTCGGCTGCAGCAGGTAGGGGGGCGCCGGACGCCTGGGTCCTCCTCCCGCCCCGCCGGGGCTCTCTCTCCTCCCCCCCCCCCGCGCCCCCTGGGTCTTTCCTCCCGGGCGGAGGGGGGCACCAAGTCTCCCCATCCCGGCAGCCGGGGGTCCCCGGGGGGGGGCGACGTGGGTGGTCTGCCTTTCACTCTCCGCGGGAAGCGTCTCTAACTCTTGCTCTCTCCGCCCCCCCCCCCCGAGGGAGACCTGAGCTGCTGCAGCGCCTCCAGCGGCGGACGGGAGGGGGCGCGCACGGGCACGCGCGCGGGGAGGGGGGGGCGCGAGGCTCATTTGTTGCATCTCTCTCCTGCAAGGAGTTCAAGGCGACCTGGGTGGTCCTCTTCCTCTTCCTCTTCCTCTTCCTCTTCCTCTTCCTCTTCCTCTTCCTCTTCCTCTTCCTCTTCCTCCCCAGTTCATCCTCACAACAGCCATGCGAGGTAGGCTCGCTCCTAGCCCGCCCCTCTCGTCCGCACAACAACCCCGCCAGGCAGAGCTGTCAACCTTTCCCCCTTTTTTTAAAAAAAATAATTTTTATTAAATTTAATATATAAATTATAGTACAAACCACAAGATTTCATCACCTATACAATCATTTTTTTGGACTTCCATCAGCACCTCTGATGATCCACCGTCTTCACCACTTCTTATGCATTTCTTAAGCTCATATTGCCTTTAATTATCTTAACTCATCATCCTCCCCTTTATCCCTTTTTGCAATACTTCCAATAATTCTCCTCACAAAACTTCTTGCAAACCTGCAAACGTGGTCTGATCATCACAGTTACTTTTCAAACAGTCTGTAAATTCACGCCAGTCTTCTGTGAATTTCTGGTCCCGCAGATTTCGAATCCTTCCTGTTAGTTTATCTAATTCCTCATAGCCCATCAATTTCATCCTCCATTCTTCTTTTGCCGGTAATTCTTCTTGCTTCCATTTTTGTGCCAATAATATTCTTGCTGCTGTCATTGCATATAAAAACAACTTACATTCCCCCCCCTTTTTTTAAGGGAAATTCCCATATTCCAAATAGGACTCCTTGCAAGAAAAGGGAAAAGTTGACAGCTATGCTACGAGGTGGGCTGGGCTGAGAGGAAGCACCTGCCCCCCCCCCAAGTCGCCCCGTCAGCCTCCTGGCCATGGGGGGATCTGCTCTAACCACTAGGCCACTGCTGCCCCAGGCGGAAAAGCAGTTTGGGCTGCGGGGTTCTGGAAGGGGGTCTCACCCAGCCCCTGTCTGGATGGAGGGTCTTCAGGGAGTGAGCCCAGGCCCTTCTGCATGCAAAGCAGGTGTCCCCCCCCCCAAGGACCTCTTAGAGCTGGGAAAGGCTCAGAAAAGGCAACAAAACTACTGTGACAGAGTGGATATGATTTAAATCAAATCGATTTAAATCACTAGTCAGTAACTTGGTTTAAATCCTTGACTTGGTTTAAATCACTAGTCGGTAAGACTTGATTTCCATCATTTTTTTACAGAAAGACTCCTTCTTGCTGGTATAATCTTAATATTTACAACCCGATGAAGGTTTCATTTTTGGAATAATAAAATTTCAGAGTAGTTTTTCCAGTTATATCCAAAATTACCATTTTGGTTGTACTATTAGAAATACAAAGACAGAGAATTATGAAATTATTGTGAGGTTTAATAAGTTTAGATTTGAACAGCTTTTCTGCTGTACTTTATCGGAAGGAGAAAAATAATAATTCCCTTAATAACAATTTATTTAACTAAAACAATAACATTATAGCAAATGTATCCATGTTTGTTAACTGATGTGGTTCAACATTTTTTTAAAAAAAAACACAACGACAACCTTAGACTGAGTTTCAGCACACATGAAAAACTTAAAACAAATCCTTATTTCCTGATGAATAGCCTTTGGACTATAATGTAATTTAAATAGAAAATCTTTGGAAAGATTTTTCCTTCAAAAGCATTTTATTTTAAAAATCCAATTTAAATTTTGAAAATCAATTTTAAAAAAATCATTTTGATCCATCCTGTGCTGTGCAGAGTGGGAGGGGAGGCTAGACTGAAAGTGTGGGGTGCTCCCCCTCTGCCAGATTGGGAGGGGCTCCGAGGGCCCCCCCTCCAGCCTTCATAGCCCTTAGCGGGAAGGCTTGGCGCTGCCCACCCTCCGGAGATGGGCAAGGCCTTTGCCCATGGCAGCTGATGCCCCCCCTGCCCCCCTGTCTGCCTGCAGCCGAGGGCGTTTGTGGCCACCCAAGGGCCCCCCGGCGGGGAGGTGGAGAAGGCCCAGCGAGCGGCCGAGGGGTCCGGCCCCACCATCTTCAGCAAGATCCTGGATGGCTCCATCCCTGCCAACATCATCTACAAGGACGACCAGGTGGGTACTGGGGGGGGGGGGCAGGATATGGGATTGTAGCAGCCTGGTGTGCCAGAACCATTTTTTCCTCTTTCTCTCTCTCTCTCTTTGAAATATTTTTTATTGGTTTTTACAAGAACCAATTTAAAATAATGAAAAGGGGAAAAAACATTTACCATATCCACATATGAGATTCTCTGAATCTTGTGACTTCCCCCCGTCCCCTGCGTGGGTCATTAAAATACATTTTCTACGACTACATATCATTACGTTCTCCACAGTTTTTATCTCTCTAAATTATCCATGTCTTTCGTTTCTTTACAAGTTATTTTATTTTTAATATAATAGTTATTAAATTTCCATTTTGAATTAATTAAATACATTCTTATTTTTTCACATTCGTATTTGCTCAAATGAGCTGTTGACCTCCCTCCCTCCCACCTCATGGTTACCCTAATTCTTTTCTATATCATAGCATTTGTACTTTTTCCTGTTTATATTTCGTCCATATCAATTCCCATATTTTAAAATAACTACCCTATTTTTTTGTCCTATAGGGCGCACCAGCCCATAGGACGCACCAAGTTTTTTTGGAGGGAAATTTAAAAAATATATATTTCGCCCCCCACCAGCCGCGGGGCTGGGGCGGGGGAAGCCCGAGCTTCCCCCGACCCCAGCCCCCAGAACAGGCTGCTGCCCACAAGCTTTGCGCGCCCGGCGGGACCTCCCTCCGGGCTCCCAAGGCTTGCGGAGAGCTTCCTGAAGCCTGGAGAGCGAGAGTGGTCGGTGCGCACCGATGCCTCTCGCTCTCCAGGCTTCAGCGAAAGCCTGTATTCGCCCCATAGGACGCACACACATTTCTCCTTCATTTTTGGAGGGGGGAAAGTGCGTCCTATAGAGCGAAAAATACGGTATGTAAAAACATTCCAAAAAGAGTGGAGTAAATTCATACAATATTTGAAGGACAATTGCAAGCAATTAACAACACTAGTAGGACTGGCTTAAGAAGACTTGTAAAGTTTCTAGTAGATACCTTTTTACAAGTTATTTTTAAAGCCCAGTTCATGTTTTATTTGTTTACAATGGTCTCCTAAATAAGTTATGAATTTTTGCCCATTCTTTTTTAAAGTCTTTATCTTCTTGAATCTTGAGTCTCCCGGTCACTTTTGCCATTTCAGCATAGTCCAGCAGTTTGGTAGAACCATTTTTTTCCAAGTTGCCCAGCTTCGCACTCTGAACATTCAAAAAATACTAATACTAATACTAATTAGTACCCAGCCAGTTGGGTGGGATATAAATAATAAATTATTATACGAATACTAATAATACTAATAATATATTATATATTTCCCCAGCCACTCTGGGCGGCTTCCAACAAAAGATTAAAAATACCTTAATGTCCCTCTGGGGTCAGGCAAAGGAGGCCTGGCACCGGGCACTTGAGGGTCGTGGGCACCCCCTCCCTCCCGCCCACGGGGCTCCTGATTCTGCCCCCTCCCTTCTCTGCAGTGCGTGGCCTTCCGAGACGTGGCCCCCCAGGCCCCGGTGCACTTCCTGGTGATCCCCCGGCGCCCCATCCCCCGCATCAGCCGCGTGGCAGAGAGCGATGCCCAGGTGAGCGAGGGCAAGACTGAGGGCACCCCGGTTCCGACCCGAGGGGGGTGGGCCAGCCCTGCTCTAAGGGGGGAGGGGGGAGAGGATCAATAGGGAGCTGGTTTCAGAGATCCGGGGGGGGGGGGACCAGAAACCCTCAGCCGTGGCACAGAAGTGAGAGGGCAGCTGTCTTGGAAATGATGGTTTCATTAAGGAGGAATGCCAGGTCATCCCAAAGGAACCTGAGGGTTCTAGTCCTCATTGGAATCTCAAATTACTTGTAACAATCTCTATTATGGCCATATTCCACACGGAGCAGTAAAAAGCGTCCCGGGTGAGGTGCTTTTTCTCTCACTTGTGCCCTTTCTTTCCCATTTGTGGAAACTTCACATGTAGTTTCCTTGGGGCAGGGACCTGCCGTTGCAATTTATTTCCTTACGCTTCTGCCAAATGTCACTGGCACCAAGGGCCAGTGCTGGATTTACCTATAAGCTAAACAGCTATAGCTTAGGACCCCTCTCTCTTGGGGGCCCCCAAAAAATTTAAAGGAAAAAAACCTGGATGTCCCTTTACAAAATATAAGATAAAAAAACAAATAAAATAAAACCTACATCCAGCAACAGTGTTTTGTGTTGTGCAGGCTCCTGTGATGTAAGTTATGGCCCCCGCCTGCTAGCCTGCTCCCTAAAATATCACTGCTTTGCTCATTTCTATATTTCACTATTAATATACTTCTTAGTTGTGTTTCAGTTCAACAATTACTTTGATAAAATACTTATTTTGGTGTGTGCAAATGGCCTATTAGGTCCTTAAATTACCATATAGCATATATTCAACAAACCTAACTCTGGGCCTGCCAAGGGCAATTATAAATGCTCCAATTTGCCCAAAGCCCTTTCGTCCCTCGTTGGAGGGCTCTTTATTTGAGGCTCCCCGTCTGTGGAATGCTCTCTCCAGGGAAGTTCGCCTGGTGCCTTCATTGCACACCTTTAGGCGCCAGGCAAAAATGTTCCTTTTTAAGCAGGCCTTTGGTTGATCCGATTTACATCTTATGCCCTTTTAAAATGTGTTTTTTGGTCGGGGGGGGGAAGCTATTGGGTTGTTGTTTTTATTTTTTATGTATTTTGTGGTTTTATATCTTGATTTTATTCTGTGAAACGCCCTGAGACCTCTGGGTACAAAGCAGTATATAAATTCAATTAATAAAAAGAATAGAGAATAAGAATTTATGTGGTTACAATATTTTTTTTAAGTGGAATATATAGAGAGAATACTTTTTAAAAAATATTGTAACGACATAAATTCTGTGCCAGGTTTGGATGGATTTTCTGCATGAATTGGGTGATAGTTACAGAGCCAAAACGATGAGTATTTAGGAGAGATGAATCTTAGTGCGCAGTGAAAGGAAACTTAGGAACCACAGTGAGGAGATCAGAAGTCATCCTAGAATTAGTGAAGAATTAACTCAGTTCTGGATGTCAGAAGTGTAAACTCTTTATCGGATTACTTTTGGTTGAATACTACATATGTGATGTGTTTTTCTTTGTTGCACTATGTTTTTTCTTTTAAAACCAACAAAGTATATACAGTGGTACCTCAGGTTACATACGCTTCAGGTTACAGACTCCGCTAACCCTCGGGTTAAGAACTTTGTGGTACAGCGGTACCTCGGGTTAAGAACTTTGCTTCAGGATGAGAACAGAAATCGCGTGGCAGCAGTGGGAGGCCCCATTAGCTAAAGTGGTACCTCAGGTTAAGAACATTTTCAGGTTAAGAACGGACCTCCGGAACGAATTAAGTTCTTAACCCGAGGTACCACTGTACTGTAGATATATAGAGATACTTACAGTCGTACCTGGGTTGAATGTGCTTCAGGTTGAGCACTTTTGGGTTGCACTCCGCAGCAACCCGGAAGTAATGGAGCACATTACTTCCAGGTTTCGCAGCTCGCGCATGTGCAGACGGTCAAAATGACATCACGCGCATGCGCGGAAGCGGCAAAACGCAGCATATGCAGACGCGCAGTCGCGTCTTACGTTCCATTCAGGATGCGAATGGGGCTCCAGAACAGATCCCGTTCGCATCCCGAGGTACCACTGTATAGATAGAGATAGAGATATAAAATAAAAATCAATAAGTAATGAGAATAAGAATCTGCCTGCAATGCAGAGGGTGGGTGGGGGTCCCGCCTGGCCCTGGGGGTCTCAGAGCCACCCCTTGACCCCTTCCCCTCCCCTGTCCCCAGCTCCTGGGCCACCTGCTGCTGGTGGCCAGCAAGACAGCGAAGGCCGAGGGCCTGGAGGACGGCTACCGGGTGGGTGAGTAGCAGCCCAGAACACCAGCCCCCTGCCCCACCCCGCGAAACCCTGCCCCTCTGCCCTGGGCTAGAGAGGGGGTTTGCTCCGCCCTGGAGGCTGGCGGGAATCCTGTAGATATCCCTCTGGGTGAAGACTCTCTGGGCCATCACCCTCCCGTGACCCCAGGATGCCTGAGCCCCTTGGAGTCCGGGAAGGGGCGCTGTGCCCCTCTGAATGCCTCTTGAGGGGGGTACCATCCCCCTGGAACAACCCTCGCTGGCAGCCCCAGCCGCCCTCCTCCTTTGACCTGGGCGACCACTGCATGCTGCCCTCTCTGCACAGCAGCCCTGCGAGGTAGACCAGGTGCCGAGAGAGGGCCTGGCTTTCCTGCCCCCCAAGTCGCCCCTCTGGAGCCAGATTGTGGGGCCCTCTCCCTCCTCCTGGGCTGGGGCCCTTGCCTTGGGGCCCTGGGGCCCTTCTCCCCTGCGCTCTCCCTGCCGCATCAGAGCCCCCCTGCCAATTATGCTTCTGCCCTTTCTTCTCTTCCAGTGATCAACGACGGGAAGCAGGGGGCCCAATCCGTCTACCACCTCCACCTCCACGTTCTGGGCGGGCGTCAGATGGGCTGGCCCCCCGGCTGAGCCCGCAGCCCCTCAGCTGGGCCACAAGGGAGCCACCCTGGAATAAACGCAGCAGCAGCCCTGGGACCCGGTCGGCGTGGTCTTTGCTTCGTGTGGGTCCTGGAGGGCGCCTGCTTTCCCCCCTTTTTGGGATGGGTCCTTCTCCCTAGGGCAGCTGGGGCTTCATCTGGCTCACAGCTCCTGCTCTTGCCCCTGGAGAAGGGTGCAGAATCAGATAATGGTGGAGCTGTGGACTTGGAAGGGTCCTCAGTCCTAACACTTTTCCATGCCTCAGGAGCACCCTTTGCCCGGATCTGATCTCACGGAGTCTCTGAGCTCAGGGAAACCAGAAAGCGACGTTTATTGCAAGAATTGCATGCTGGATAGGAAAGATCCCCTCTTGCAATTGTTATAAGAAAAACCTGCTCCTTTTCCCATCATTGGGTACTCAAGAGCCCATATAGAGTCCTTAAGTGGGTTCCTTATTGGTAGGAGAAAATAGCAGAGGCTAACTATAGAATATTGAGAAGCAAAGAGGCTAGCAAGCCTGATATTTATTAAATTGCTGCAACAGGGTATTTCACTCCCCACACTCAGGAGGGAGGGGGAACCCAGAACACTGGTGTCTAAGCCTTTATATAGAGTTTTGAAATTGCCTCCCCTGTAGCTCAAGGTAAAAGTAAAGGGACCCCTGACCGTTCGGTCCAGACTCTAGGGTTGTGGCACTCATCTCGCTTTACTGACCGAGGGAGCTGGCGTACAGCTTCTGGGTCATGTGGCCAGTATGACAAAGCCGCTTCTGGCAAACCAGAGCAGCGCACGGAAACGCCATTTACCTTCCTGCCGGAGCGGAACCTATTTATCTACTTGCACTTTGAGGTGCTTTTAAACTGCTAGGTTGGCAGGAGCAGGGACCCAGCAACAGGAGCTCACCCGGTCGCAGGGATTCGAACCGCCGACCTTCTGATCCACAAGACCTAGACTCTGTGGTTTAACCCACAGCGCCACCTGCTCAAGACCACCCCCCGAAACATCATCCATACATCACAGAAGGAGGTGTTCCCCAGCAGAAATTTGAGAGTGTTGCCTCTCTCCTGTCTGCCAGGATACCGGATAAGGCCTTACTTGGTTGCCTTTTCTGGGTAGCCTGGCCATTCCTTGGAGATGGTAGATCCTTAGTTCCTGAATCTCTTCCGCATATTGAGAGTGTGCTCAGCTGAACAGATACTTGCCAGGCTGTATTTACAGGGAGGTGTAAGCAGCCCCTGCAGTCCAAAGACCACTGGAAAGCTTCCCCCATTTCCTTCCTCCTTGCAGAGAAATAGTTGAGCTCCATTTGGGAGAGTCAAAATGGCTTCAGGATTCTCCTGTACTATTTCAGACATGTGGCTTATATACTTCTGTACGAGTTTGCCTTGTACATTTATGAACATTTAATTTATATATTTGAGACCTTAAATTCTTACCACACATTCAGGGGAGATGCTGCTCCTGTGAGCCAGGCTTGTTCTTGCATCTCAGCCAGAGAGAGGCAAAAGACGTCTTTCTCATCTCCCATGGCTTCAAATATCAAAGCCAAAGAGCAAAATATTAAAACTCATCCACCTTCCCTGGACTCCCCAAGGACCTTACTCTCGAGTAGCAGCCTTTTCCTTGCCCCTCTCCAGGCATGCAAATATTTCCTTTTACCCCCTTGAGTGGTCTGTCTCCGGCTGCCCACCTGTCCCTACAGGTTTCCCTTGGCAATCTCGTCCCGTCCCCAGGGGGCCACAAGAAGCCCCTTGGCCAGGAGATGTGCCATCCCTCCCCCCCCAACACACCATGGAGGTTTCCCCTGCAATTCCCCCCCCAATGAGCAGACAGGAAAATAGGCCCCCTCCTCTGAGAGGCAGCAGCCCAGACACAGAGCCCAGGACCACAAAGTCCGATTCCTTCTCGGAGGTGTACTGGTCTGGTCCCCACATCTGAAAAGGAAAGTGTGGGGCTTGGAAAGAAACAGAAGAGGGGGGCCGAAAGGATTCAGGGCAGGAAGGGAAAGCTGCCGCCATTGCGAAGACTGACGGAGTGGGACCTGCCACCTGGAGAAAGGAGACCCCTGCTTGGGGAGGGGGCTTGGCCAGTGAAACTGACGGCCAGGGATGTGGTGACGGCCAGGAACCGAGATGGCTTTGCAAGGACTGGACATCTCCATGGAGGAGGAGGAAGAAGGCTGCCGATGGCTGTTAGCTCATGACAAGCCTCCAGGCGCAGGCGCAGTCTATCCCTGAATGCCAGTTCCCAGAGGCCTTTGCTACAGGAGATTTTTGCCCTGGGAAGCAGGAGGCCAGATTAGATGGTCCCAAGTGGGTGTGAATCGTCTTGGCTCATCCCCATTAAGGTTTTCTGCTTCTGGAGTTTCTCTCTCTGCAAGGCCTATGAGCGGCCCAGTTTCCACATCTGTGGGGCAAAGCTGTCGTTCTGCCTTTGGCCAGCTGGGGGCACTGCATGCACACCAAGTGAAGTTCAGATCAGGTAAGCTCCCAGTCAGCAGGGTGCGCCGAGAGGCGGCCTTGGGCCTCCCTGAGGAGCCACAGCACCCAAGGGTGCAGGCGTGAGATCAGAAGCACAAAGCCAGACATCAGCGCCACCTGGGGGCAGACATTCTGCAAACATTGTGGAACAAATCAAGCTGGGATGGCCAAAGTGGGTGGGTCCTTTTGGCCTTCTAGAGCTGGGGAGGGTGCCATTCTGGGTCTGTGCTGAGGGAATGCCCAGGGGACCCTTTTCTAGATGTGCTGTCAGTTATTTGTCAGCCACAGTTGCCCCCAGACCCTCACCTGAAGATCTGGGGGACTTCTCCATCCTGAACAGCAAGTCATTCAGCTGCTGTTGTCCTGCAGTTGCCAGAGGGGGTCCCTCTCCCTGTCCTGCTCACAGGTGTGTTGCCACCTGGCTAAGGTAAAGGTAAAGGGACCCCTGACCATTAGCTCCAGTCGTGGCCAACTCTGGGGTTGCGGTGTTCATCTCGCTTTACTGGCCGAGGGAGCCTGCGTATAGCTTCCGGGTCATGTGGCCAGCATGACTAAGCCGCTTCTGGCGAACCAGAGCAGCGCACTGAAACCCCGTTTACCTTCCCGCCGGAGCGGTACCTATTTATCTACCTGCATTGTGTGCTTTCAAACTGCTAGGTTGGCAGGAGCAGGGACCAAGCAACGGGAGCTCACCCCGTCGCGGGGATTCGAACCGCCGACCTTCTGATCGGCAAGCCCTAGGCTCTGTGGTTTAGACCACAGCGCCACCCATGCCCCACCTGGCTGTGTACACACACACACAAATCTTTGCTCTCAACAAGCGGTTCAAGAAAGGTCAGCGAGGCAAAGGACCCCTTTGGACGGAGGGAGGGCAGCAGAGGCTGCTTCAGGCCAGCTTCATGACCAGAAGGCGAGGCCACCATCCGTCATGTGCATCTAACCAGGGGTGAGGAGACCTGCCTTGCCTGCAGTGGCATAGCGGGGCACAGGGGTGGTAGCCCTGGGTGCAAAACTTGTTAGGGCGCAAAATTTCAGTGCCCAGTGCTGCCTCAACAAAGCTACGTAATTCCATCACTTGGCTGTTGAAAACGGCTTCTCCAGGTAGAGACCTCTATAGACCACGAAAATACTTTCCCTATCCCTACTGCTATGATCTAGCAGTTGAATGTGCATGTGCACTCTGACCCTTTCCCTCCCTCCCACCCCGCTTTGCATGGCCCCGAGCACTGGCAACCTGCGCTACACCACTGCTTGCCCAGGGAGTCCTGCTCCCCACCCCCAGGCTCAACGTGGTGTTAGAAGGTGGATGGGAGTGAAAGGAGCCACCAGCTCAGTATCTGTGTCCTACACTGACAGCGGGGGGGGGGGCTCCCTGCAGGGTCTTGGGCAGAGAAAGGTCTTTCCCAGTCCGGGGGGGGGGGCGGGGAGCATGCTTCATCCACGGTGTGGGCTCAGATCCTGAGCCTCCCTGGCTCATCTCCAAAACCTGGGCGTTTATTTTGTTGGGTTTTATCCTAATACATTGTACACCACCGTGATAGATGATAGATAGATAGATAGATAGATAGATAGATTAGATAAATGAGAATTTCATTTTAAGGGCCTTAAAACCTTGCTTTTTTGTCATGGCCTTTGAGGGCTAAGCTATCTCAACTGGACATAGTTTATAAGCTAAGTGGCTTATTTCCTTGAAAGGTGCTCTGGTCTGAGTACCCTGGATGGAAATGGATATTTTAGACGTTCATTGATTCTATTGCTGGATTTTATGGAGTTCCATTGTGTATGCTTGGAAAATGCTTTGAGAGGCAGTTTTGCTTTAAAGGTGGTTGGGAAAGTCAAATGAAGAATAGCCATAAAACCTCCCATTTTGCTTTGTTAATGGTAGTGGGACAGGAAGCCATTGTCCTAATCTGATCATAAACAAAGTGTTATTTTCCCAGTTTGTTCATTGCCCCAGACAGAGCAGGTTCTATAGTTCAAACTTACAAGCAAGTTAATATACAGTATATATATATATATATATATATATATATATATATATATATATGTGTGTGTGTGTGTGTGTGTGTGTGTGTGTGTGTGTGTGTGTGTGTGTGTGTGTGTGTGTGTGTGTGTGTGTGTGTGTGTGTGTATATATATATATATATATATATATATATATGATTTTAAAACTTAGCTGTCACAATGAATTAAACATTGTAACAATATTAAAAACATCTCCATTGCCAGCCACCCGGGCAGAATATTCCTAAGCGCCAAAACATTTCAGCCTTGGAGTGCAGAAAGGAAAGCCAAGGTGTTGGGTCCAAATAACTTTTACTCAGAGGAGATGCACTGAAATGAATGGACCTCAGTTTACCATGTCTAGTAGTCCCAGTGGGTCTGCTCTGCCTAGGACCAGCACAGGATCCGGCCCAAGGTGCAGCCCATGAAATAAATGGACTAGGTGGCCCCCAGAGTCGCTTCTATTACCAGAAAATAGGGAGGGTGTGCCTTTTCCAACTCTACAGTTCCATGAAATGTGCTGTGTCTTTCTTGATCAGCCCAGAGGCCCAACTAGCCCAGCATTTCTATTTTGGGGG